CGAATGAAGACGAATTTGCAAGTTTGTAGATGTTTGTTGATCTGATCTCTTCGGGGAGATTGTCGAGGTGCTGTTGGTTGAAGTTGAAGCATTTGTCTAGTTAATCGGTTAGTGAAGTCGGCAATGTTCACGTCTGTGGAATCGGCTGAGGGGACTAGCTGTCCAGGCAAGGTTAGGTTGGTGCCATAGACAAGTTGAGCCGGTGTACATCCTAAATCTTCTTTGATAGTAGAACGGATACCAAGTAAAATCAAAGGTAAGTATTCACTCCACTTAGATGTATCATTCTGCGCCATCAGGGAGCTTTTCAGTTGTCTGTGGAATCTTTCCACTAGACCATTCGCTGCCGGATGATAGGCTGTTGTGGAGATATGTTTCACTCCCAGAAGTCTCGTCAGTTCGCGAAAGAGTGTCGATTGGAATTGAGGACCGCGGTCGGATGTAATAGTAGTTGGTACACCGTAGTTTGACACCCAACGGTCGAGAAAAACTAAAGCAACGTTTTCAGCAGATATGTCGTTTAAGGGGCATGCAATAGCCCAACGAGTAAATCTATCAATCGCTGTCAGGATATGTGTATATCCCCTTGATGTTGGCAATGGTCCCACGATATCTATATGGATATGCTGAAATCTCCTTTCGGGTAATTTAAACGTCTTCGGGGTTGTAATAGTGTGGCGGTGTACTTTGGAGCATTGGCATTGGATACATTCTCGTGCCCATCTCCGAATGTCAGAGTTCATTTTAGGCCACACGAAGCGTTCGCCGATCAGCCTGACCGTGGCGCGTACTCCAGGGTGGGAAAGCGAATGTAAATGTTCGAACAATGCTTTTCGGCAACTGAGAGGGACAAATGGACGATTAGTGCCGGTAGATACATCGCAGACTATGGTTGCATCCGATAAGGGGATAGGCACATCTTTGAGTTGTAAGGAAGAGTTTCTGCGGCAGGTTTGGAGTTCAACGTCATCTTTTTGTAATTGAGCCATACGATCAAGACTGATGTCTACCGACGTTTGGAGCTGGTTAATGTCACTTCTTGAAAGAGAATCGGCTACCACGTTCGCATCCCCTTTGATGTACTGAATGTCGGTTGAAAATTGGGAGATATAATCCAACTGTCTGGCTTCTCTAGGGGAGTGTTTATCAAGTGAAGTAGTGAAAGCATGACACAGGGGCTTGTGGTCAGTAAAAATAGTGAAATGCCGGCCCTGTAGTAAGTAACTGAAATGCTTCACTGCAAGATATATGGCCAGCAATTCTCTCCCAAAAGTGCTGTATCGTGTCTGAGCCGGTTCCAACTTCTTAGAAAAGAATGCGAGTGGGGTGACTTCGCCCTTCATCTTTTGTTGTAATACTGCCCCCACTGCTACCTGTGATGCATCTGTACATAAAATGAGTGAAGCTTCTGGGTTGATGTGAGATAACATTACGACGTTGGATAAGGCATCTTTTGCATTATTAAATGCTGCTTTTGCTTCTTCAGACCACTGAAATTTCTTCGAATTGCATCTAAGTAGGTCGGTCAGTGGCTGAACTATGGAGGCACATGATGGAATAAAACGTCGGTAGAAGTTGAACATCCCGAGAAAACGTCTAAGTTTCTTTAAGGAATCAGGTTCGGGAAAGTTCTTAATAGTTTCTATCTTATCTTCGGTAGGTCTGATGCCTTCGGCAGTTATTCGATGTCCTAAGAATTCAATGGAAGGGGAACCAAAAATACATTTCTTTGGATTGATAACAACTCCAAATTGTTCAAACCTTTGAAATAACAAGCTTAAGTGTTGCATATGTTCTTCCGTCGATGAGCTGGCAATTAAGACATCGTCGATATATACAAAGACGAAATCAAGACCTTGGGTAACTTGGTCCATAAAACGTTGAAATGTTTGAGCAGCATTCTTTAGTCCGAAAGGCATTCTCAAGAATTCGAATAATCCAAAAGGCGTAATAATTGCTGTTTTTGCAATGTCTTCTGGAGCGACTGGTATTTGATGATATGCCCTCACCAAGTCAACTTTAGTAAAAATGGTCTTTCCATGTAAGGTCAAGGAGAAGTCGTGGAGATGAGGTATAGGATAACGATCTGGTACCGTAGCGTTATTCAAAGCGCGATAATCTCCACATGGTCGCCAGTCATGATTAGTTTTAGGTACCATGTGCAGAGGTGAAGACCATGGGCTGTTAGATGGTCGTATGATACCTAACTGCATCATATGTTCAAATTCCGACTTAGCTGCTGCTAGTTTATCGGGTGGTAACCGTCGTGGACGTGCCTTCACAGGTTGTCCTGTTGTGATGATTTTATGCGTAACTGTATGAGATATATCTTCGACATTGTATGATGGTTTAAGGATTTTAGGAAATCGTTGCAATAAAGCAGAGAACATTTCACTCTCCGGCTTTTCTATGCAGATGCTATGAACAGAGTAGTCGCATGTAATACCATGGATCTTGAGTTGGGTGCAATTGTCAACCAGTTTTTTCTTGCTGATATCAACCAACAGATTGAAGTGACTTAGAAAGTCTGCACCTAGTATAGCGTGACGTACGTCAGCTACTATGAAGATCCATGTGAAACGTCGGCGTAGTCCCAAATTTAAAATCATTGACTGTTCGCCATACGTCTGTATGTTGGTTTGGTTGGCAGCACGGAGTGAAAGTTTTCCAGGTATTTTGGCTGATCGCCTGGATAGTGAGGGGGGGATAACACTGACCTCGGCGCCTGTATCTACCAGGAATAATGTGCCGGTAGTCAAATCCCTCACATAAAAAAGGCGACTGTGGTGATTGCCAGTAACAGCTGTCGCCATCACTGTCTGGCTGAGGCGTTTCCCTGAGCCTGGTTGGCTTCGCTAAAGCTGCACGGTTTTACACATTTCAGGGCATGACGTCCAAACTTCCAGTGATACCAGCATATATTGCTATCCCGAGAAGACGTGTAAGAACGCTGTCGTGAGAAGGATCGTCGTCGTGATGGTGACCTTCTCTGTGAGCTCCGTCTCCGGACTTGTCGATCAGACTTATTAGTTTCCAAATTGTCAATCCTTGCCGCTAAGTCTGCAATGGCGGCGAGTATCGGTGTGTCTGCCGTGGGTGTGGAATGACACGGTGTGGCACTATCAGATGCTACGTGACTTATGGTGTTATCAGATAAAACATCCATAATACTATCTGCCATGTCACTTAGTTGGTCTAAGTCATATGACTTTCCTGAGATGATTAAAATTTGCTGGACATTTCTAGGTAAACGTTGCAACCACATCTGTTTCAGCACGACCTCGTCTACTTTATGATTTCCGATTAACTGGCGCATGTGCCTGAGTAGCTGGGATGGTTTACGTGGGCCTAGATCACAGCCTGTGAGCAATTGTTGGATTCTTTTCTCATCCGACAGACTGGTACGTTGTATGAGGAGGGCTTTAAGTTTATCAAATTGATGTTCTGTCGGAGGATCTTCGATGAAATCGCTGATTTCTGTCAATACTGACGGAGGGAGTTCTGCCAGCACCATACCATATTTGGCTATTTGGGACTTAATGCCCCGTGCTTCTAGCAACGGTTCAATTACCGCAAACCAAATCCTTGGTTCTGCGAAACCGTATTGGGGTAAACGAAAATCAGTGATGGCATTTATTGTGGCGTTTGTCTCGCTATTAGTTGTCTGCTCATTTGATGTACCGGACTGAGGTGATGACATTATGAATATGGGGTTATTGGTACAAATTAGGATACAAATATAAACCACACACAAAATCACAATGAATATAAAAATAGCAAAAATAAGAATATGAATATGCCAAAATAATCCGTGTTCTTATCGGGCTCACCAATTAATTTGTAGGGGACTAATATTAGAGTTCACTAACATTCCAAATATAAAAGTAATAATCCAAGTCAGTGGAGTGTTAAATCACAATATATTACCAAAAATACAGTGACGAGTTATAGCAACAAAAAGGATTACTTGGTTATACAGTATAAGTCCTCGGCTACAAATTAATTATATAATCCACAGGCACGTTAACTGTTTGGACTGCGTCTGCTGTAGCTGCTGTGTTCCGGTTGTAGAAATGTCTTCGGTTGAAAGTAGTAGGCTCCTACAATAAATCCGAAGTATACAACACGGTGTGAGTGGAGCAAGTAAGCAGAAGGGACCAGGGAGAAGACGAAGTCTCCAACAGCAGAGTGTATTTTTCAATTGTACACGGAAGTTATGTATATTTCAACAAGAAGCGTTTTAAACAAAAATTATGTACAATATCTCGAATTTATACAAGTAACCAAAAAGTGTACAATCACATTGTTACGTACTCATCAGCTGAAGGGGCTAAGATGAGGAGATGAACGAAATTACTTGCTGCCTGATGAAAACGCATACTTAGAGAACACTAAGTTTGTTGCAAAAGTGCATACAAGTAAAACAACTGATAAGAAAATACAAGCCAGCGCGAATAGCTCCCAGAATACTTTCAGCCTAACTGAAACTAAAGTAGCCATTCCATTCTGTAGAAAAATTGCACTGGAGACGGTTGATTATGGTAAGCCAATATGGAATATAATTTCATCAACAAATCCATGGGAGGAAGGGTTATCCCAGTGAACACAGGGTGTGGAATTGAACTCCACTATGAAATTTTTTCTTCTTGTCCGACACCTTAGTGTCTGTATTTCCTACTGCAGGATCCAATGCATAATTTTCCTACAACAGTTAGAGATGATCAACCCTCATTCTCTTATTTATGCAACTTAAATCAGCACAAACAACAGATTCACTAGTTTCAGGTGTTGTTTTTAGTTATTTATACGACTTTATTTGCCAAAAGTTTCTGAGTTTAATAACATGTGTACTTTTTTATTGTTGGCTTATAGTTTACCTGTCTTCTGACTTCAACTTTCATAAGTGTTTTGTTTCACTGCACTCACAGATTGAGCGCCGGACTCCGGGTTTGCGTCGTGATCGAGGTTTTGTCAAATAAGTTTGGAATTGTGGGATAAATATGGTGTCTGTAGTCGAGAATAACATCAGTCCAGATTCTGCATTTACAGTTGTGCGGATGGAACCATCAGACATATTAAGTCTCGCAGGACAGTTTGTTGTGCAATATTATACTGTGATGAAGAAGTGTCCTTCTGGAATTCATCGATTTTATAAAGACGATTCGTCTATGATTCGAGAAGACAACCCGGTTTGTGGTCAGCGAATGATTCACGAAAAAATTATGAGCCTGAATCTACAGGACTGTCAGATTGCTATTCTTAAACTAGACGCCTTACGAGCTAACGGCAACAGTGTGTTGATTCACGTGAGTTATCTCAACTCTCTTATTGTAATCAGGTTGCTGGAGAGATAAGCATTGCTAACGGGGAATTTAGAAGATTTACCCAGTGCTTCATTTTGAGGGAACAGTCTCCGTGTGATTTTTACGTCTTGAATGACATATTCCGGTACCAAGATTTTGTGTACGGTGACCTCAGGAATAGTGCAGAGACAAACAGTAAGTTTCTTTTTTACACTGTTATGTGTCTCAGATGATCATGTGACAAATATGAATGAATTCAGTCTGTCAGAGAGCGTCCAACACTGTCCTATGCCTCATTCGGCCAGAGAAGTAAGCACCGATTATTAGACTAACGTATTCTATCCAGGATCACACTCACGGCTGGGAAAGTGCACCCGAACAGGGTTACAAACAAGCTGTCGAAGAAGACCAGGCACATAATTCGGAAGTTAAACAAGACCAGATACCTGTGGAACACGTAACACCACATTCTTCTGCCTCACCATCGATTCAGCAGGAGGCGGCAAAACAGTCACACCCTGCTAGTTCCCCACCATTGCCACCTGTTCAATCTGGGCCACGTAGTTGGGCACAAATGGCATCTAAACAACCATCTCAGCCCGTTATGAATGCACAAGTGTCCAAAGGCTTGAGAAGTAATACAAATACTTCAGAGTATGATGCATCAGACGACCAGCACAGATCAGGTTTAAGACAGTCTGTGAATCCAGATGGTCCTCAAAGGTATGTTGTAACTTTTGTACATTTCGTTTAGTCCTCACGTGTCATGCACATTGACCAGCAGTTAGCAAACCTTTATCTTTTCACTAAATGTAAGTCGTATCCTACTAATTTCCATCTCAAACACAAATTCCATACGATTCTAATCTGAAACTTATACACTCATGTGTTAGCTCACCTTATTTCACCTTCAAGATACGAGGTGGAGTCTGGAAAAAGGCTAGTAGGGTTTTTACTCCTTGTCAGTGATTCTCTTGTTCATTTGCCCAATGGATAGTATTTTTCCCTTTGGGTAGGCTTGGTGCAAATATCGATTTCTACGTACTTATGTAAACAAAATGTGTCATAAACATGAGAAGAAATTACATTCATTATTCATTTAGAAGACTGCCTGACAAGTATATCTTGTACTGTTAGGATGTTACAAACTATCATTAATTTACAAGGATATTCTATTTTGGCGAGTGCTTCTACATTTCTCTATTAATTAGTTTTTACTCAGCATCTCTTTTGAGGTCCGGTTTCTTGAAAATATCCGTCGGGAAAGCCGATACCACCTGATTTGGTAAAGTTCCGGTCTTTGACTACTAAGTACTAATCTAAGTACCGCAAACACGGAAACCACATTCCATGATATAGTGAGTCATCCAAAAGGCAAACAATATCAATCGACCACGTTGTCAAAATTCATGAGTAAAAAGCTCACTGTAGTAGTGTCCTAAAACTGACAAATGAAGCTCTACAACAGGCTTAGAATTGAACTTGTGGTTTGCTTGAGATTTCTCACAGAAAAGTGGTAAGAACCTTCAAGCCTGATGTCTAAAGTGTAAGTTCCGGACGGATATTTTATGCATCTGATGTTGAGTCGACTAGCTATTTTTAAGCTGATGTCAGTACTGGTCATCTAGCAACTTTTCAAGAGCTTATCAGTGCGTCATTATGTTACGTTGTAACTCCTGTCATTTATCACTGCCCATAAAAACGTCCTTATTACCATACGTGGTGACTGTGCACAAACTTGTCACTTTTCACTACATGTGAAATTGTTTTATTTCGTATTGCAGCCCATAAACTGCATTACTTTTGCGTATAGGGTAGAGTCAGCTGTGCAGGCGCATGAAATTTTTAAGTGACTAAGGGAAAGCAGATCTTGTCTGAAGTCGGATTATGGATGAAAACGTTCTCCGAAGATCTTATGTTACTTCAAAGTACATTATCAGTTGCGACTGTAGCCTGTCATCAAATGGCGTCTAGTGTAACATCCGCGAGAAATTTTAATAGCATTATTCCATTCTCGTTTTTAGAAGATGGAAGAGGAGAAAAAGGTTCGGGAAGTTTGAGTATTTGCTGTTTAGGAATTGAAAGAAGACCACTCATCAAACTGAAGTTATGAAATAGAATGATTGTGAATGAGAATGTACAAAAGAAACATCAGATGAGGCAGAGTGAAAATATTCATAATCTGAGAGTCTCCGATACATAACTGACAAGTTGGTTTCAATGGACCAAGAATCATATTCCCTTGGCTTTGTGGAGAAATCGTTCATCGGTCTTATCACTTGACTCGCAGTCAGTGAATACAGGGTTTGATACCTGCCCCATCCACTTCAACCTGAGCGACTGATTAGTATCACCGACCCTCACAATCCAGTACATGAAAAATCCGTTCCGGATAACTGAGTTCAAACAACAACATTTACCTTGTAAACCGCTAACGATAACCAGCGCATTAAGAGGTGAACTTATTTGAGGAATAATGTCATTGGGAAAAAAGCATGAAAGTGACTGGCAAACATGGATTTTGTATTTATTATGGTTAGGTGATTGTTACTTTCCCTTTGCTGGCAATGCCGAAGTTGATTTTTTCCTGAAGTGTTGTTTAACCACAAACCGTGGTGAACAATTGCCTCTGCTTCCTAGAGCTGGGAGATTGCATAACTAGCCTTTTAGTCGTCTTAGGCAAACACTACTGATACCACACATGTACAGGCTTCAGTATGACTTGACACGGAGACTCCCGGTGGGCCGACAACTGCTACCTTGTCGTGGTGGTCGGGCTTGAATACCGCAGTGACCCAACAAGCTAAACTGGTTGGGACTTATGTTCCTGCGGGTCCTACCTTGTCAGGAAGGTTGTTTGGATGGCGGTTAGACCAAAAGCAGTTACCATGGGGTACATGGACTCCAGAGTCCAATTTGATCAAATGGCGTATGAACCTATATCGGTCACCGGCAACCATGGGAATACAGCTCCTGACACTGCTCCGCTGCCTTTCGGATTAGACTTCAAGTCAAAGGCTCGGAGGGTGGTGGTCCCTTAATAAAACCACCTTCGGTCTGGGCGCCCGGGCAGTATCTCAGCCCTCACACAGTAAATGAAATGAAGCAAAAAATTATCAGTGAAACTTATCACGCGCTCGTAACAATGCTTTCAAGCAATAATGATGTCTCAGGTAACAGCTTTCCGCCTTCGTTTAAATTCCCAGCCTATCTGTGCCTTCTAATCTATGTTTTTTAATTGTCATTGTGTGGCGGATCTTGTTGGTGCTATATTGTATCAAGTTTTTCTGCGTTTAAATGAATAAATAAATATAATACTAACAGACCCCAGTATGATGGTGAGTATTAGTTTTTGTTGCTCTAAATAGTTGTCAGTTGTATTCTGAAAATTATTTTATTAGTGCCAGTGATTCTGCAGAATACACCAATATATCAGAATTAGTTTTTTTATATTTTCTCAGCGAAGTGTACAAAGGAGAGGTAATGTATTATGCTATAATAGACTAAGGCCTCGATATACACTTGATTAATATGAACTTTAAATGCTTATTTTGTTCTAGGATACGCCCTATGGGACCACGTCAACAAGGAGATTCACGAGGTGTTTCTGAAATGAATTATGCTCATGATGTAAGTACTTGTTTCTGTGATGCTTGGAATACTATACTAATATGCTTGCATTTTGGTTTAATAATCGAAGAAAACGTCATGTTGTAAAGTAAACAATTTATATACTGTATACACCCCTCATTGCAAGTGATCTCGAACCATATCACCAACAGTCTCTAATTACTGGGTTTTTAACGTTGATAAGACCCTAACTAGTGAGTTTATATAGCCCGCATGACAAACTAACAGCAGAGTTTATAGATTGTCTGAATACAACTGGCACTTTCTAACTGAACCTTATTTGACTAACTGCTGATCGCTTAAAAAAGCTCAGTCGCTCGGTGTGCGTAACGCATTCTATCTATTTCAATTTTATGGTGTTTCACAGTCTTATCGATTAACTTACCAACGTTATCTGACAATATTCAACACTTGGACCTATCCTAACTAAACATATTGCTCCACACAGTATTGTGGGTTAAATGTGAAAGCACATGAAGTCAAGAAGTGCTGATCTTTCCATAATCTCCCACCTTCAGCCAACTATTCCTCAGAGCCATAGAGTGAGACAAAGTAAATTGCCGCACAGTGCAACATGTCGTTTAATGAAATCCAGATGTGTTACGCTGGCGAGAAAAAAAAGACCTGAAGTTAGTAAATGCCGATAAGGCTTTTCCTTTGCTTGAGAAGAATTCGTTAGTAACCAGTTATCAATCCACTCAATTCCTATTCGTTAATTCAGGAGTCAGTGAATCATCTCATCACTATTAGTACTTGCAATTACCCTTAGGTAGATGAACATTTTGACTATTTCTAATAACTAATTCACAAAGAGATGATTTTGGGCACACTTTTGTTATGCGATTCTTGCGATGGTCCTTTACAGGTAATCATTGCTGGGAAGTATATACCTTACAGACTGATATAAACATGCTCTTTATATAATTTGACAATATTGTTGAGACTCTCTTACCACACCTGCACAGATAGTTAATGAGGAAGGCAAAAACTATTGGAAAAGAAAGAGGACGAAAAACACGTATAAAATGTAATATCAAACACCTCATATAATTTGTAACGGTAAGATGTAGGATCTACCTGTATTTCCCCAGTCTTGTAAATGGAAGGTATGCTATAATATGGTGATCTTTAGAGTTGTCTTCATGTTTAATGTCTCTTCGGTGTGGTTGTAGCTGGGTACGTATAGAGCATGCATGAACCTCTGTGGTGAATCAGTTTTTGAACACATTAACTTAATCGTCTCATTATGACAGTTATAGGTTGTTACAAAACGGTTTCAATTGGTTTTACGGCGGACTGACTGTATAGTTCTGAGTATATATTTTAGTGAATGGTTATTTTGATGTTGGTATCTCAGGAACAATTATTATTTAATATTTTGTTGCTTACGATAAGCAACACTAAAACACTGATAATAAGGATTAGTCGCGTGATCAGTGGTTTCTCATATGAATGTGGTTATGTGAATAGGCTGGAAGCGATTTGTGTTTCACAAACAATATAACAAGCTACTGAAATTGCTGAAGACTAATCTCACTTTGTATGTTGGATCTTTAATTTGTTTCTCCGATGAGCGTCCTTATCGCCAAATATGGACGACTGACTGAAAATGCAGATATTCAAGTGTTGGTTTGCAGGGATTTGACGGGTTACAGGAGTTTCTCAAGCTGATGTCGGCTAGAGAACCATTGAAAAACCGGCAGGTTGTACTGGACGGCTGTTTTGTCAGCCTAGTTTGGGGTTTACCAACGGTATGCACACACCCCAATGTCAGAGTTCGAACCCAGAAACTTCCAGTACAAGGCGACGTCGTAGACAATTGAGCTACTAGTGGGACGCGACTCCTCATTTGTCGTCAAACCCGACCTATTGTGTTGTTTGCCTTACTGAGATTCGTCTGATAATTTGATGTGTATTCGATAAACACTGTAAGACGACAACGTAGTTGTGGGTTTTCTCTTCCATTCAATAATTCTGTAAGCCTACTGACGTTAGTATCCTGTGGAGCTTATGGTTGCCTTGATTAAATCTCAGACAGTCAGTAGGTTGATCGTCAACTAACTTGAAACCGATGCAAATAGATAAGTTAATTAACATGTAGCACAGTAATAAGTAGGCAGTCATCCCTTCGTCACAGATGCGAATGTTTTGTTGGCTTGCTCTGTGGGTTGAACATTGCATCTAATTTATAGAGAAACTATGCTGTGTACCATTAGTGCTCACCTATTTAAATTTCGACTTTGTTTTCGTGCCCTACTCGACGTAACCTCAGGCAACTAAGTTAGTAAAGTCACTGTCCGCTGCACAGTAGGTGTGGCGCACCACTGGCTAACAAAAAGAAGTAAGTTGTGTGGAATATATACGGCGTAATCAGTTTCTCAATCTGTTTATCGGTTAAATTAACGTTCATCACTTCGTTTGTACTTTTATTTTCCCGTCTTTCAGAATCGTGCTCCTGCTAGAGGGAATACATCTAGAGGTTCTGGTTTCGGTGGGCCTGCTCGTGGTGGAGGTAGAGGTGGTGGTGGCGGCGGTGGACGTGGTGGTATGGGTAATGGACCTATGGGTCGAGGTTCTAATAATCCACGCAGAACAGGTTAACGCCAGCAGACCGACTGCATGGCAATATCTTCAAGTTTGGACAACACATTTATTAAGCCGAACAAAACAGATGTAACTAGGCATCAGTTGGTCTTCAACACTGTGTGCTGTTTTACATAACCTAAGACTATATACATGTTCTCAACAAAAACTACATTTAGGAACAAATTCTTTGACTGCTAACTCCTTGAAAAGTTGTCTGCTTTCCTGTATTGATGATTTATCTTTTCTCCTTTTCTAGTTAATTTACCTTGGTGTTTTTGATGAAAAAGATTTTCTTTTCACACATTCACCAGTTCTCGTTAATGCACACTTAGACACACGTGATGATTGTAAAGTACACTTGTGTGTGTGGGTGTCTTCTTCGAAATTCGTCACATTTCTCAGTAATTCTAATTTCTTTTTTTTCCAAGCATCTTTGTATATTAAGTGTGTGTGTGCGTGCGTGTACACCAAACAAAAGTGTCTTCACAATACTATTTGAACTCTGATTTGTATGTGTTTGTCTGTGTGTGTGCGTGTGTATGATTGATTGTAAAAGAATTATCATCACCTGATAGCTCTCTTCTTTTAAAAAAATTTCGCGGTCTTCTTTGAATGCTTCAAGGGGAAGTTGTTGCTTTGATCTCAGCTTTCATATGCCTTGAGTTTCTTTCTAAGAAAAGCAACTGTCATGAGTCAACCTGAAATGTCTGAAAGTTAGTGTGCAGTGAGATATTGTGAAAATGATGCAGGATAAAAAAAACTGTCATAAGTAGTGAATAACAACTGCGTAGTTTAGGTAAAATCCTCCAGCCACATGAACTTGAACTTTCTGTATATACAAGTCCTCGTCGTAGAGTGTGAAATTACTCATAATTCACCCCAACTAAGTTCGTTTTTGAGCTAGGGTGAGATAGGCCAATTTGTCGCCAGAAACAGTTTCCGATTGTTTGTGTCTTGCGGAGGGTGGGGGCGGTCTGGTAAATGCCACGTTGAAGCGTGGGTTAGGAGGCTCGTGCAAACTACGACGGGGAGATTCAGTAGAGAAGTTGGGGGTGACAGTAACTGTCGGCCGTCACCGCGGTTTTTGCTTTGGTCACGGTAAAGAACACATGATGATGCCGATTCGAGTGTCCTTTACTCTCATTGTTGTTGGTGCTTCAGTGTTCCGTTGGTCAGTATCATGGTGTCTTTTTCAAATTGCTACAGTGGTTATATTGACACGCATAAGTGTCCAGGGACAATGGATTTTTAAGCACTTCTGGACTTGTCGGTAGGTCAACTGACTTCAATCACGATGGAAAGTCGGCTACGTAATATAACTGAGACTACGTATTGACTGCAAGTAGAGTGATGCTAAAGAAAGGAATAATCTGCGCCTGCTTGGAATTCAAGAACCAGCTTCATATCCACGTAGTCGACAAAGAGCCATAATTACTTTCTAAGGCCCAGTGTTACTACTTGACTGCACCAACTGTGGTAAGTAGAGTGAGGTTCGTACCGGCTGCCCAGTGGTTTGTAGTCAAGTGCATAAACCAATTAGCTACAGGTGTCCACTTAAGCAACGTCGGCCATTATTTAGTCTGATATTAAAGAAGCAAACTGAGCGGAAGTAGTTTCGTACGAAGAACTAAAAGAAATCGGTCACTAATAATTTTTGAAGGGAAGATGGCGGCAACTATTTTATTACGACCCTTAGTGTGGACCTGTTCATCCAGATTGCATCTCCACCTCATCAACTAACCATACACGAGAAGTTGACCCTTCAAATACCTACAGGACTACTTATCTAAAGTGGGAGACAATGTAGGGTGGGAGTTTTCAGGTACTATTGTCACTGTCATGTTAGGAGTTCTTGTTCGAGGTTGTATGATGGGAGGTAAGTCATCAGGTTTTAAATCATGTAGAACGCAATTGTGGCTCATAACCCCGACATACTAAAGAAACTGGCATTGCCGTCAGGTTTTATTATCTGTGCAACATCAGGCACGAAATAAAAAAGTTGATTTTCGAATTTCAGCCAATCAGACGTATTTATTATTGTTTCCTTGGGTTCCAAGTGGAACCTAGGACTTCAACACCACGTCTCTACTTTGTTTTGTTCTCTGCGATCCTCGCTAGCTGGGCCCACGATTCCCCATAGTTTCTCATCTCCTTCACCTCCCAAATACGAGAGAGCCAGGCAGGCTTTAGACCAGGAAGAGGGTGTATTGATCATATCTTCACCCTCCGATAGATTCTAGAACATAGTCATTCCTACCGGCGTCCAACAGTCATTATATTTCTTGACCTAAAGGCAGCATTCGACTCTGTCGATCGAGAAGTTCTCTGGAGATGCTTGGCTGTAAAGGGAATCCCGAGAAAATATATTGCAATAAGAACAAATTAGTTCAGCGAAGAGTCTCTTTTCGGTGAATTCAATCTCTTAGCTGTACAGTCGCAAATATATACAATTAATTTTGTGTGTGTGTACATAAGGTTTGTCAAAATCAAAATATATTGCACTGATTAAGGTACTCTACTCGTACTCATACAGCCAGGTGAGGGCTTACGGCGAGCTGTCATCTGAACTGATGACGACCAGTGGTGTTCGTCAAGGATGCCCATTATCCCCTTTTCTATTCAACTTCATCATAGATGTGTTAATGGACTTAACCCTAAGTGACTTCAGCGACTCAGGGATTGACTTGCTACCTGGGAATAATCTCGTTGACTTGGAATATGCAGACGATATAGTCCTTCTAGGCGAAGACGCTGACGAAATGCAGTCTTCTAAACACCTTGAGCCGCGATCTACGAATGTTTGGCATGCGATTCGCTCCCGCCAAATGCAAGATGATGTTACAGGACTGAACTGCAGCAACTCCTAGATTAGAAATAGGAAGTGAAGTGGTACAGCACGTTGACCGCTTCACTTATTTGGGAAGTACCATCAGCCCCAACGGGCTGATCTCTGACGAAATCTCAGCACGAATACAAGGGGCTCGTTTCGCATTTGTTAGTTTACACCGACTCTGGTGTAGACGAGATGTTCGACTATCGACCAAAGGGCGGGTGTACTGCTCATCAGTCCGCTCCGTCCTCCTGTATGGTTGTGAGACCTGGCCACTGAGAGTGGAAGACATGAAAAGACTAGCTGTCTTTGATCATAGGTGCCTGCCTGCGTTCTATCTCCCGTGTGTGTTAAGTGGCATAATAAGGTGAGCAACATTGAAGTTACGCTTCGGTCGAGTTCTAGGTAAACTGGGGAAATCAATCGACGAAGTCGTGAAGTTACAGAGACTGAGGTGGTTAGGACATGTGTTACGTATGCGTGGTCATCGCCTCCCTCGACGAGCAATGTTAGCGGATATAGGGTCAGGCTGGAAAAAAGCTAGCGGCGGTCAAACAAAAACGTCTGGATTGATCTGACTGGTCACGACTTCTCACTAGAACTGACTCCATCCTGTAGCAAGCCACTCACTAGCGAGCATCAGATTAATTTTCGATAGTTAGTATACTCATTAATATCTAACCCCAAAAATCTAGAAAAAGATTCTAAGATAAGATAAGAATTGGGCACTTCACTGACTGTGACAAAATATAATTCCATTCACATACACACACACATTACACCACAGGTCCTATGATTTTACAACAATAAGGAAAACATGAATGTTATATTTTAAGTGTATATATAAAAAAGGGGTCACGATTGTGTAAGATATTATTACTTTGTGTGTGTGTATGTGTGCGAGAGTACGTACTAACTAACCCACTGTGAGTGTAAAATCATCACACGGACACAAAGAATATGCAACGACGACAACACCAAAAATAAGTGTTTATATAGTTATTCAAAAATACCCTATATATTGGTCAAAGAAGAGTGTAATGATGGTGTGTGCGTGAGAGAGAGACAATGTGTATGTATGTGTGATTGTGTATACAAGAAGACAGAGACACGACACTCCCCTGTTGACTGTGTCAGAAACACAACGTAACGATGATGTATGCCTACATATGAAAGACATGATGTACATATATATTTATGTGTGTGTGTGTGTGTGTATGAAAGTAAGAACACCTCAACACAACAAGAACAAATGTGTACAAACACACCCACACAAAGGGACTGATTAAGATCACAGTTTAGCCAAATTATGAATCATTGATACATACAAAAGAAAAAAACGGAAAGACAAGACCTATTCACACACACATACACCACACATCAGACCGTGTGGAATTCATCACCATTATCATATACAACGTGAAGAAGAAGGCGATGGGGATGGAATCAGGTCAGATCAAGTCAAGTTGAACTAAAATCACAGTTATGTGTGATACATCAGGCAGACAGATAAAAAGAAAAAAGAGAAGAAAGACCAATCAATCAATTAGTTGTAGTGTTCAAAATTTCATCTGTTTGACTAGATTTGTTAAGTGGGAATTACACAATTGGACAGAGAGTTGATTTGTTGAACGAATATCCATTCGTATTGTTCCTGTGGCAAACTGTATTTCCGTTAATAAAAAAAATAAAGAAAAAAAAAGAAATTATTGCAAAAGATAGAAAAAAAGGAGTTATCAATAAAATTGTTATCCGAGTGTCGATTTACACCGATTTGATTGGTTACAGGATTTTATCGTGACCTGACATCGGTTAGTGAACCATTAGAAAATTATCACTCGAGTACTGGGCAGCCAGGTCTCTCGTCAGCCTAGTTTGGGACTGCTCAGCAGTACGCACCCACTTCCAGGGTTCGAAACCCACTACCTTCCGGTTACAAGTCAAGTTAGCCACTAGCGGCACCCGACTCCCCAATGACCGACCTATGGATTCCAACTTCTGCCAATTCAAGCACGATATAGAGTGACTGGCAGTCGCCAATGTCATCGCTGGCGAGTAATTGTCCTCATACCCGACCTGCTAGTGGTCACGCTAGTACAGAAACTATCATAATTCAGACGGTGGCCTTTTCACACAAACTGTTTGTACAAATATATATGTGATACAATCCTCCGTCCTCATTAATGACTGTGAGTGAGACATGGATGGACCCAAGTAAAAGAAAGTGGAAGACATAAAAAGCCTAGCTAGCTAGCTTCCTTGCACCATAGGTGTCTGTCCGTGTTCTATCTCCCATATGTGTAAGGTGGTGGTGGTGGTGGTATAATAGGGTGAGTAATATTGAGAAATTTAGGCTTCGGTCGAGTGTTAGCTGGTAAGGAGGAGGAAAAATGAATCGATGAGGATGTGAAGCAGATGCATCGATTGAAAAAGAGATGGTTAGGACATGTGTTGCTGTGCATACCTGGCCTAGCCTAACCATCAGTTTCCTCGACAACTGACATAGGATCGATGAGGTGGAAAGAGAGTTGATTAATTGTGGTCTAAGGAAAACATGGCTTCATCAGTCAGTCAGTCAGTGAAATCCATATGAGTTAATTTCGGCCAGACAACTAGGGAGGGAGGTGTAGACTGCTTGATTGGCTGGCTGGGGTCCTCAGGATGGTAAGAACCAATAACGGTGACTGGAGACAATTGGTAATATGGCTCAAATTCACCGTTGTCAATGACATTGCAGATGCATTCACTCCTTTTTGTGACTTGTCACTCTCTTTAACCTCTTCTCTTGTTTTGTGTCGTACGTGGAGAAAGAGTGGCAGCTACATGGAACTGCTGCATATCTGGGCAAAATTGTATGTTGAACCGATAACAGTCAGACACGATATACTGAAAAACATTTACTTAGAATATACCACTAATCTTAGTTTTATAACTATACACTTTCTGTCTTTCCTTTCAGTTATTGAAGAGTGATATAACTATGTAGATAATGACATGACAGAATAATGTTTAACAGTATCATAAAAGTATATTTAGCGATTACATTCTCCCAGATGCATTTGAATGCTAACACCAGCCACCACTCCCATGTGGTCTGGGGTTCGATCACCGACCGATAAAACACTCCTCTATGCCTCGCTAAGCCGGTAAGTAAGGCGACCGGTATAGCGAGACAGTTAGGCGTGAAAATAGAACCACTGTTACTGGAACTTCAAAGCTCTAGAGCTTGAAGCCCTGCCCTATGTTCCCCTCGGAACATTAAAGGAATAAAATAATAAAAAAGATACATTTGAATAGAAATATGAAATAGGATGGAATCAATATGAAATAATTGGGTGCTCTAATAATCGTAACTTTGAATGAAGATAAAATGATGAGACATTTTGAGTAGACGGGGGTAATTTACTGATGATTTATCTCTGCACTAAAAAACAATGACTAACAACATTAAGGTATTTCTTTTATTCAACGCGCATTTCGTTCTGTTTGGGACTCGTCAACTGGATGTGTCACCACCAGAGACTTGATGCCGCATCACGAAGGGCACTTCGAACGAACTACAGACCTTCAATCAACAGCTATCTTCACTCAATAGTACTCAAGATCAGATGGCCAGCCAGAAAAGATTAGAAACAGGGATCTCTGGGAATAAATCAACCAGGAATCAATTGTGCAACAAATATGCAGGTGGAAATGGAGGTGGATTGGAGGCCACACTGTGAAGAAACCATCAAGTGACATCACACGCCAGGCAATCGTTAGATTGGAACCGGAATGGGAAGCGGCGAGTTAGTTGGTCGTCAGTGCCAGGGTGACACATGGCGGAGGAAGTCATGTGAAGAGGAGATGAAAGCATGTGGGCAGACCTGGAGCCAGGTGAAGACGTTGGCAGAGAATCGAACGCAATGAAGACTTGCGACTGAAGCCTTATGTTCCTTCTAGGGACTAAAGGAAAGAATAATATGATATATAGTCTGGATGTGTAAATGCACTGTGCCATTCGAGACACGTTGGGAACACCACCAGGTGCATTGGGCTGACGAGCCAACCCCAAAACAGGACGAAATGTGCTTTATCCTGGATTCCACAAACCAAGTGACATAAAGATACTTCGATTAATACTAATTAAGAACATAAAGAAAAGGTCTATATATATATATATAATTGAGAGTAGAAAACTTACAGAAACTTTCATTAAAATGCATAATGGCTCTTTGTGTGGAATGGATTCTGTGTAGAGTGAAGCAGCAGCCCGACTGTCCAATGATTCAATGACTAAAATAATTCATTTATTCAATGTTGTATAAAATATTTAAAAAAAGGTGAAGAAGAAAAAAAGGATAGTGAGAGAATTTTCCCCCAAAAATAAAACTGTCAAATGTTATAGGAAGCATAAGAAATATAAATACACTGAAAATTTAAAAAGTACACACGTACATATATATATATTGGAGATTAAAAAAAAACATTTTGTACAAAGATATTTTTTATTTTATGACTTCTATGAGTAAGTAATTCGGTTTATATTTAGAGATATATCTTGATAACTTGATATAAGTATAAAACTTGGGCACCACTGTGGTAGAGTAGAGTATAACTCCATTATGGATAAGATGTTTATTCTGATAAAGTGTCACACAGTGCAGCTTTACACAGTAATATTTACTGATGACCACGTTTCAAGCACAAACTATTGTCACTCATAATCATATCAAGTCACTACTAACAAAACTTTTTTCCTTCATTGAATTGAATAAAAATCAATATGGTATAATGTACATTCAGAAATAATAATAATATTTATTCATTTTTTATTCTGATTACAGCTTGATTCCACACAGTACATTTTGGTACAAGTATGGAATTTTCAGTCTGTGATATCGGTAGCCCAAATTTTGCAGGTTGACCACAGATATCAGGTATGCGTCGGCAGGGGTCGAACCTCCGACCATGTGCATGGTCAGCGAGAGTCCTAACCACTGTGCCACCGACGCACTGATCAATTACAATCAAATGGGAAATAAGACAAGTGTTTTTATAGTCGTAATAAGTAACTTGTTAGAATGTTATAATGTAAGTGAATTGAAATAGAATTTTAAGATTATTTATTATCCTCCTCTGATTTGACTGACTGTTGGCAATAATATCTTCCATGCATATCTCTGGTATTTGCATTGGGTCAATTCTGTTGCATGTGTTGTGTTGGGTGTAGATTCGATGAACCAGGATTCAGTAAGTAATCAATCTCTCTCTCTCCACCTACATAGATTACTTCTTAGAATCTTAACCCTCTTCAACCCTATTGTATGGTTGTGTGTTGATGCATGTAGTGCAATTGCTGAGCTTTTTTCTAAATTACTCATCTTCTCGGGGTCAACCATTCTTGCCTCAGCTAAATTCTTATGTTCCGACAATCTCACTACCCTCGATTTACTAGTTTGATCTATGTTCACTTCACTCACACTCATTGCAGGGTATTTTGTAAATTGTTATTTTGTTTAATTTGGTCAACCTACAGGGTCCTTTAACCTACAGAGTTTGTCCCAACCTGAGTGAGTTTGTAGGTTTGAATGCCACCCACCCTAATTCCTGCTTTATTGAGAATCCTACGTAGCGTCTAAGATTTCCCCTCCTTATACGGTATAACAGTGAATGACTTATATTCTCTCTTATTTATGTTATCATTACTAGTTCCACACTTACTTTTCGATCTTCCTAATGAATTTTATAGAATAGTTAGTTATTTAACACCAACGCTTCATCTATCTGTTTTATTTCATCGTTTAGGTCTTTTTTGTGCTACTTAGTGCTACCGCTTGATTTCTTAGACACTTAACTAGGCCTGCCTTCAGGGACAGACAACGGATGAGATGAATTAAAGTCTAAATATCTATTAGCAGAATATGTTGGTTTTTTATAAACGCTACTGTGCAGGTTACCTTCTTCTATTCGCTTTATTTTACAATCTAACATAGCTAATTCTCCTTGTTTATTTTCCGATTACAAAGCGAATTTTATTCCCTACACTAGTGAGTTTATATGTGTCAAGAAGCTGGAGAAAGATATGTTCGGTTTTTAACATTGTGAGTGAAAGTGCCATCCAAATATCTCAACCATATTTTGGAGTAGGATTAAATGTATTAAGAGCAATATTTTCCCAGCTATCCATAAATATATCTGCTACGATAGAGGATATTGGTGATCCATCCCATTGCTAATCCTTCTGTTTGTCTATGTATTTTGCCTTGGAATTTAAAGATAGTAGATGCGAGGCAGCATAACTGAATCCTTAAAATAATTTCTTCAATGGGCAACTTTGTCCTATGATTGAGTTCAGGATCTGCACTTAGTTCTTTTTTAACTGCTTCTAAGGCTGCCATATTGATTGGTATATTAATATAAAGATAAGTTATATCAAAACTAACCTTGGCTTCATCATTCCCTAGCTGAATGTCATTTAGTTTCTTTTTCATCTCATATGGATTAGTTAGTCTAGAGAGTTTGAACGATTTCTAATGGGGCATAATATCAGAGCTAAATGTGTTCTGATAATTTATAAGTACGGGTATTTCTGAAATCTACTATTGACTGGTCCACCAAATTATATATTTGAGTAATTATTGTGTAACTAATCGGGGCCAAGTTAAACTTTCGACACCTCTAACTACCAATCAGCGAACGACGTCGAATTATCCAATGAGATTCAGGAACGTTAGTTCAATGTTGTATAGCGCTTGATTCATTTCTATTGCATGTCCTCACAAGGTTACGGTTGCAATTCGAGGAGGACAGTATTTTCCAGTATTGCCTGGAATTAGGGTTGCTCCGGAAGGAGCGAACTTGTTCGTGTGGTGGTATCACGACTTTAAAAAGCTATAGCAGATCAACTGATGGATTTGTTCATCGTTGTGCTATATGCTTGAAGCGTGCTAGCATTAGAGAGGGTAAGCTGATAATTTTAATATTTCGTAGGAACTCTTTTCGTTAGGTCGAATCTCTCCCTAACCCAGATTTTGTATATCTGCAACTACTGGGTGTTGAAACAGCCGGTGAGAGCACCAGCTGCAGCGACGGAGAATAGCCTCGTCTCAACAGTTCAATGGTACCAGCATTGCAGAGATATTGCTTCGTGGAAAATAGAGAAAATCACTTGGTTGCTGGGTGGAGAAGACGTTGTCGTGCATGTCGATGAAACTGCGCTGATGAAAAAGAAATACAACCGTGGTCACCAGCGAGTAAACAACATTTGGGTATTAGGTTTATGCGACAACTCCCTCCGAAAGGGATTCGTCGAACGGATAGCTGACAGAAAAGCAAACCACTTTAATACCTATTATAACGAGACTTGTTAAACGGTGGTCAATTATACACACGGACGAGTGGAAAGGTTATAATTCGCTGTCACCTCCGGAGTATATTCATCACAGAGTGAACCATTCAAGTGATTTCGTGGATCCCGTTACCAGGACTCATACGAATTCTATTGAAGGATTTTGGGGCCGCTTGAAAAACAGGATAAGGGCTATAAATGGATCTCAAAAGGATCACATTTATAGTCACTTAGCTGAATATATGTACAGGATGTGGTGTGACTTCTCCATTGACAGTCCCATGCTAAATTGGGAGATGTTTCTCTCACATGTTCGAGAAAGATATCCCTTGTAACCGTTTTATCCTTTTTTCTATAAATATACGTTTCCATTTACCATAAATGCCTCTTTAATGTGATTGGTCCATTCGAGGTCGTTTGCTGATTGGTTGTTAGTAGTGTCGAAAGTTTAACTTTGCCACCAATCGATATCATAATCATAGAATACATTTTTCAGCACACACACACACACACACAACAGGAAGCAGTAAGTAGTATTATTATTCCACCACAATTAGCTTACTTGAACATGGAACTTTTTCTTGAAGAAACGATATGATTTGTGAGAAAATCTTTGTGTTGTTTATTCCTGCCAATGTGGGTGAATCAGACAGTATTTCTGATTGACGCTGAATAACTGATAATAAATGAGGACATTGAATTTTTGTAGATTGGAATGCATTGAGTTGACCACTGGATAAAAGTGCAGCAAATTGATCACTAGTCCTCATTGTTAATGATCTACAATATTGAGGTGTAGCAGCAGCAGCAGCAGTAGTAGATGACAGCGTTGAAGCAGGATTAGTGATTAATTCACTGTTATAGTGTTGTTGCTGTTGTTGTTGTACAGAGGATTTCGGATCAACAAGGGACTGAAAGAAAACGAACAAAAAACAATGCAAAATGATAACACTATATTTAGTGGGTAAAATGCTTTTATAAGAAGAAGAAGGATGATCTTAGTTTTATCATCAAGCGAATTCTGATAGCGTTTATATAATGACTGTTGTTGTTGTTGTTCAAGTGTTGGTTAACAAGGATTTCATTGGTTACAGGATTGATCACAAGCTGATAAATCCAGGGTATAAGGGAGAGATTGATAACAGAAGCTTTGTTAGTCGAATCAACTGCAAATACAAATAATGACGAGCTGTCATCTGAAGTGGTGACAACTAGTGGTGTGCGTCAGGGATGCCTATTATCCCCATTTCTATTCAACTTCATCATGGATGTACTAATGGACTTATCATCTCTAACTCACTTCAGAGACACAGGGATTGACTTGATATCACGGAATAGTCTAGTCGACTTAGAATATGCAGACGATATAATCCTTCTACGTGAGGACGCAGAAAAAATGAGGCAGAGTCTTCTAAACATCTTGAGTCGCAATCTACGAATGTTTGGCATGCGATTAGCACCCGCCAAATGCAAGATGATGTTACAGGACTGGACTACACTGACTCCTAGTTTGGAAATAGGGAGTGAAATGGTAGAGCACGTTGATCGCTTCACTTATTTAGAAGTACCATCAGCCCACACAGGTTGAGCATTATTTAGGTTAGGCGTCGAGCACTAGGTATGTGGGAGGGGAAATCAATAGACGAGGCTGTGAAGCTACATCGACGGAGATAGTTATTACGTGTGTTACGTATGCCTAGTCATCCCCTTCCTCGACCGCAACCTTAGCTCACACAGGATCAGGCTGGAAAATGTTTCGTCTTACCTTCTACATTAAAAAGTTAAGACAATCAGGTATCAACCAACCTTTAGTTTTGCAATTTTTAAACTCCTTTATTTTACCTATTGTACTCTATTGCTCTCCATTAATCTTTCCTGGGCTTCTCAAAAAAGACTATATCGTATTACGAAGAGTATTAAATGCTGTGAGTAAGGCTTGTGGTATGCCACAGTATGCGTGAGCTCGCCAATATTATAGTCGAGAGGCATATAACATCCTGTACAAAATAGGCAAAGGCCGTACTGTCAGACCCCTTGCACCCCCCCCACTTTATTCACAACTATCCCCTTGCATCTCATCAGGTAGGACGAGAAGTCAATATAAAAAGTTATATGCTTGCACCACTAAGTACAGAAATTCTACAATACCCTATTTAGCCAGTACTTTATATGACGAAGACTCTGTTAGACGTGAAATACATAAGTTATTATGTAATTAGCACAGTCAGTCGACCCTTCCATTGTTCATCTTACTGTATTTTATGGCGTCACACTTTCTATCGTTTAATCATAACTCTGCTATTATATATGTCCAAACCAAGTTCACTTTTAACGGTTTGAAAAAATTTGGGCATTGGGTATATGATATTCATTATAATAGAGGTTTCTGTATTTCCCAGTAAAAACAATCTCGTTTTGTTTTTCATTCATTGGGAAATACAAAAACCTCTATTATAACTCCGCTACTTTATTTTAGTTGTTATTACTATTATTACTACAATTTTATACTTTATGCATATTTTTCTCCGTATTGCATACGGTATTTTGCTATGTAGCTGCTATAACATTCGTTTTATTATTATTATTATGTAATGTGTATTTTTAATCTTTTTTTGTCGTTTTTGAGTAAATTAGATGCAATATTGTACTGAATGCTGGAAATTCCTTGCTGTATCATTAGTAGTGTTTTTGGAATAAAGCAAAAATTATTATTATTATTATTATTATTATTATTACATACCCACCTACCTGGGAAGCATCGTTTCAACTACAGACGGATGGAACTGATGAGGATATCAAAGCAACGAGGATCGGGAAAGCAAGGCAAGCTTCCATTACTCTCAACAAGTCTGTGTGGAGATTAACAGCACTCAGCATGAAAAATTGGATCCGGATTTTCAAATCCAAAATGTGAAGTCAGTGCTACCTATTATACGGATAAAAGACTCGGAGTATCATGGAGAGCACTTCGAACAAACTACAGACTTTCATCAATAGTTTTATTCGTTCAGTACTCAAGATCAGAGGCCCAGCCAGAAAAGATCAGCAACAGGGATTTCTGGCAATGAACGAGCCAACCCCAGTAGGTACCAATTGTGCAACAAATATGCAGAAAGAAATGGGGTAGATTGGAGGCCACACTCTGAGAAAACCATCAAGTGACATCACACACTGGGCCATCACACTGGTGGAACGCGAACGGGAAGTGACGAGTTGGCCGTCAATGCGAGGGTGACATAGAGGATGAGGTCATGTGAAGAGGTGATGAAAGTATGTGGGCAGGAGTGGAACCAGGTGATGAAAACGTTAGCAGAGAATCGAGTGCAATGGAGACGTGCAGCTGAAGCCTTATGTTCCTCTAGGAACCAAAGAAAACACAACAATAATAATAATACGTGATATCAAGTGGGGGAGGGGGGGGTAATTCCAAGATTAAAAAACCACAACACAACAAATAAATGAATATGACACTTTAATTTCAGTGAGAATACTCACCAATTTCACCATTAAAATACAAGAAAAAACATACCTGATGATCATTTTTTCCATTTTTATTATTTACTAAGGATGTTTTAGAGGGTGCGGTCTTTGATGATTTTTTATTTCGTTGTTGTTTTATTGTATTGTCTGAATCGAAAGCAACATATCCAGAACGACAAGTTGTAGCATCGTTGCAATCTAAAAGCTGACTGGGATTGACATTCTCTGTACAGTTGGTATCATTCATAGATTGACTTTCGATATCTTCTCTTGATATCTTGTTCACTTTATTATTATTCTTAGAAGAGAGAAAGCATAACAATAGAAAAAAAATAAATAAAGGAAGAGGTTAGACACGACATGAATAAACTGAAGTAATTATCTTCGAGTATGTGCGTCGATGGCACAGAGGTGGAATGCTCACCGTCGACCAAGCATGCGGTCCGAGGTTCAATCCCCGGCCACTGGACGCACTCCTTTACCTCGGTAAGAAAGTAATAAGACTGGTAAAGAGGGAAGAGATTGGGCATAAGGCTGGCTAGCAACCCCATCTCGTTAAAAAAATAAACACGACTGCCGACGAAGCTCCAAGCCTCAGGCTTGAAGCCCTTTGGTCCACTGGGAACGTAAAGGAATAAAAAAGATTTTTAAAAAAATTGTTTGGGGAATACCCCCCTCCTCATGGATGATCTGTTTATAATATTTGTTCATGAGGAATAATAAAACTGCATAAACAGTTAATCGTCACATTAGTTATGGTCCTATTAGGTTTCTTATCCAACCATCCTGTCTATTTTTCATACATTTATTCCCCTTAATGAATTTGAACAAAGCAAAAACTACAGTTTTAGCAGAATAATGTGGTACCATCATTTATTTCGTTGGCTTCTCATCAGCTGCTTACAGCCTAAATAAATTATGAGGTTTAAGTACAGACATGTTTTAACATACTTGCAAATTTTACATGTTGTCAGTTGACAGAAAATTCCACAATTTGTAAACAGTGCTCAGAAGATTGCGCTTATACAGTTTTCACACAGGCAGTTCAAGTTAAAACAAAATAAATGTATGCAGAAAATGGTAAAGGAGTTACGTAATAAAGATGAGATGTGCGTTAGATGCATAGTGACTAGTAAGTTAGGTGACGAAGAACTGAGTTGAGCTCAAATCATAGAAACAAGAGACAAGCAAAATTACAGATTATAAAAGGGAGGGTGAGGTTAAAGACAAAGATTACGTTATCAGATGAGAGAAAAAAAGGCATCCAGTTACCAAGGCAAGGAAAGACTAATAACTGCTTCTTTCTGAACACATAGATCAGGTTTCAACGATTTTCTGAACACGTACCAAAAAGATTACGTCTAAAGGGAACAAATGCTCTAAACAGTGCCATCGCCAGGCATCTCCTCGACACGGGTCATGAGGTGGGCATCGAAAAGTCGTTCGAAATTATCAATAGGCAAAAGAGCTCAATTCTCCTTAAGTTTGCTGAAGCGATTTCTATCAAACGCTTGAAATCTGATCTATGTGTTCAGAAAGAAGCAGTTATTAGTCTTTCTTTGCCTTGGTTATTGGATGTCTTTTTTCTCTCATCTGATTACGTAATCTTTGTTTTTAACCTCACCCTCCCTTTTATAATCTGTAATTTTGCTTGTCTCTTGTTTCTATGATTTGAGCTCAACTCAGTTCTTCGTCACCTAACTTACTAGTCACTATGCATCTAACGCACATCTCATCTTTATTACGTAACTCCTTTACCATTTTCTGCATACATTTATTTTGTTTTAACTTGAACTGCCTGTGTGAAAACTGTATAAGCGCAATCTTCTGAGCACTGTTTACAAATTGTGGAATTTTCTGTCAACTGACAACATGTAAAATTTGCAAGTATGTTAAAACATGTCTGTACTTAAACCTCATAATTTATTTAGGCTGTAAGCAGCTGATGAGAAGCCAACGAAATAAATGATGGTACCACATTATTCTGCTAAAACTGTAGTTTTTGCTCTGTCTATTTTTGTTATTTCTACATTTTCTAACCCATAATTGCACAACCAATGTCAATAAATAATAAAATAATAATTTTTCCGTCACGTTCCCAGTGGGACATAGGCCTTCAAGCTAGTGGCTTGAAGTTTCTGTAGCAGTGTTCATTTTTACAGGATGGGGTTGCTAGCCAGCCTCATGCCCAACCTTTCCTCTTAACCAGAGTTATTTCTGGCTTAGCGAGGTAAAGGAGTGCATCGGCCGGTATCGAGCCCCGGATCATGTGCATGGTCGGCGAGCGTCTTAACCACTATGCCGCCGACGCAAAAAGCCGGTATATCGCTGCCAGGATTCGAACCTGCGTTAGTGCGGCCATAGCGCAATGTCCTAACCACTAGACCACAGCGATCAATCAATGTCAATCTTCTCAGTAATTATGATGCTACTTTGTTTGAGTTTTATCTGCCCTCCGCTCACCACCTGTTTATTATGGCATTTTAATTCCTAATTGTAATTTTACTAATTTGACCCTTGACCTGAAATGATTTTGGAACCTTCTCAAGCATTTACTCTATAAATACATGAATGTACAGCCTAGTTGATGATAACTTCGTTGAAAAGAGAAAATTTTCTTAGCTGCAACCGCGTCTTTTTATTATTCCCCATAATATTTGTATACTTTCAACTAACCTTGCCGTTATTATACGCTTTTCCCCGTACACTGTATAGCCCGTAATTTGACACTGCATAATATATGTCGATTTTTGACCTTTATTATATGCCTTTGTCATTCATTATAATAAAGGTTTTTCTTTGTATTTCCCAATGATAAATGAAAAACAAAACGATATTATTGTTTTGTTTACTGACGTTTCGCTATTTAATGCTGCTGCTGATAGCTTTATCAGAGTAGTAGTATTATTAAACCAGAATTTACTAAATCTCAGCTTATATATAACAAGTTTAATCATCGTTTATCAGCATGAGGCAATTTTTATGTTGTTGTCAAGTTGGCCAATTGGTAAAGATAACAAAACCAGGTGTAGATTGTTGGATTTGACAAGTGTATAAAATTATAAGAGCAGCATGTATTTGCATAAGGAAATTGCTTATCGCATTTGTGTTGATTTTGTTATTTTATGGGATGGAGCGGATGTTGTAACCAGGTCAAATTCTGAATTAATTGGTGGATGGTGACTAGAGCAGTGGAGTCCCCATATGACGAGTCCCAAATAGGAGGAAATGTGCTTTATCCTGGATTCCATCCATTGCTAGTCACCACCCACCAATTAACTTCTAATTACATGGCCAGACATCGTCGAAGCATCTGCACAAGCCGACATGACACCAAGCACTTCGGTCGAATCAATCGACGGGAAAATCTAAAACTAAGTTAAATAACAGGTCAAATTATGTTTTAGTCCATCATTCCTATTCAGTTCAGACAATTTTGGATTCCATTTGATAATATGAAGTGCTTCTGATATTAGACTTTCTCTGTGATTTATGAAATTTTTCTGGATTATTTCAACATTGCGAAGATGAACTTTGTGACTAGATTCTATAACGTCCCGCGTGGACCTATAGTTGGTGGTTTTTTAGGCTTTTCTATTTCACTAACTGGATTTCTCGGTAGTCGAACAGATGCTCTACGGTGTTGATTTCTTCTGATTTTGATTTCTCTCCGGTGATGTTTGTCCGATGTATATCGCATCATATTCAAAGCATTTTATTTTATAGACAAAATTAGATAGAGAATCTTTAGGGATTTGGTCTTTTATATGGACAAAGTTGCTTTGTAGTGTGTATCTGATGTTTTGAAGAAAATTCTGATATTGTGCTTATTGAGTACTCTTCTGATATCATCTGACGACTCTGCCCTTTGTCGTTGTTTACTCTTTAATTGTAATACTTATCTTTTTTGTTGCGTGTACATTGACAATGTGTTCTTTGACGATATTAATCTGAGGAAAGAGAAGCCTTCGCGTGTGATTTTTGTGAACATAGCTACCACCAATCCCGTCTCGTTGGGAATGTTCTCCTTCTCGATTCTAAAGCGCCTTTTACAGTTACAGTTTGGTTAACTCAATTTGTCTTAGAGAACTCTTTTTATGTATTCAGACACCTATATTGCCTGTATATTTCAACACTCTCGAGGTAAACTTCAGTTTTGATGTTATTATTATTACTGTTGTTTAATAATCGTCTTCACCTTGTTCTTGAAACGTGCCGGGATAGTGCGTATCTCAACAAAGTTTTGTCGGCTATACACAGTGGAATGTAGAGATCACTTTTTTGCGTTCAGACAGACCATAACCGAATAAATTTAGTCATTACAAACAAATGGCGTAAGGGTTAAATAACGGCCACAGCTAAGAGTGTAAAACTTTGAATTCTAGTTTTGGGGAAGATTAATCCCCTTTCAGCAAAACTCTTACCATTACCAAATGTTAGTAGATATCAATGAGAATAAAGACTTTGCATAGTGGTCTAGTCTCAAGCCTTCTGATGCTCATTAGCAATACAACACTACATAATCTTGTGAAGTATGCTTAGTCCGCCATTGGAGGATATTTTAGTCCCAAATTAAAAAAATCATCGTCTTTTCGCTGTCTTTAAAGGGTTTTGTGACTGTCCGTGACTCGAGGAAGTTTTGTCAGCCATAAGAGTAAGTAGGACGCAGAGATTGGTTTTTTGCATTCAGACCTGAACGAGTCGGTTTTGGTCATAACAAACAGATTTAAGCAAAATCGATGAAACAATCAATATTACTCTTATTAATCCCTTGGGTTAACAGCACATCTCCATTTCATCCTGTAGTCTACCTAAGCTGACTCCACGACTGTACATTAACTCTAATCACCCCCCAAAATCAACTTCGTACACTCAACTCGCCATTTCCTATTGGAGTGTTCCAGTCGACTTTATGATCTCATCAAAGAATATCCAATCCACCTCCACTCTCTCCTGCATATTTGTTAGATAACTGATGGATTCGTTAACAGATTTCTTCGTGGCTTATCCTTTCTCGGTGACCATCTAATCCTTAGCAGTAACGAAGTAAGGCGATTACTAACAAAGAGTCTGCAGTCTGTTGGAAATGATTTTCGTGGTGCATCAAGTCTCTGAACTGAACCATATAGAACTACTGACTTGACATTAGTGTTGAAAATCTGAATCTTGTTGTTTATGTTGACAAGACACAATCAACATGATAGTATTGAATTGAATTTTTGATTTTCCCGTCGATTGATTGGACCGAAGTGCTCGGTTTCAGGTTGACGTGTCGGCTTCTTGTGCAGATGTTTCGAGGATGTCTGGGGATTTGATTTGTATACAATTGTACAAATTGTCAACCTGAGACCGAGCACTTCGGTCCAATCAATCGACGGGAAAATCAAAAATTCAATTCAATAATTAATATATGACCCGTTGCACAAGAGGTGGCTCTCGTGGCCGAAGTGGTCTAGTGGATAACGCTTTGGCGTTTGAAACTATGGGCACTGGGGTTCGAGCCTCGGTGGGAACATCATCACTCACTGAGAAATGCAGGTACATCCAGCTGACGAGTCTTAAATAGGACGAAATGCGCATCCTGGATTCCACTGCTAGCCACCAACCACCAATTGTATACAACATGATAGTAGTAGTCATCAATTCCAAGCAAACCTTCACGACCAAGCGAAACAAAAATCAACTGTAGCAAACAATTTATCTAGAATTATACAGAATAGCCAAATAACTGACCTGACTGGTTCAACATCGAACTTTGCACAGATATGCACCAGTCCCAGTTGCCACTGTCCCTCCATGCACACACAAAGCAAGACAAGAGAGTAAAGAAAGATTCAAAAAAAGAGGGAACAATAAACAGAAGTGTGAGGGATAAAGAATAGTAAGTAATATAGAAGAACAACATAGTTCCAATGGATATGACTGACGAATCACATAGGGCGAATGCATCTGCACTGTCAAGGACAAAGAGAATTTTCAGCCATGTCACCAATTGTCTCCAGTCACCGCCATTGGTACTTACCGTCATCTCGAGGACTAAAACCATACTGGCAGTCTACACCTCCCTCCCTACCTATATGGCTGGTCACCTTAAACTAACTGTTATCATGGATTTCATTTACTGATAAGGCCATGTTTTCGTTTGACCCCTCATTAGGCAACTCCGTTCCCACCGCATCGATCCTATTTCAGCCAGCTAACACTGCCCGTTGTTGATGAGGGTGATGGCTAGGCTAGGCATGAGCAGCAACACATGTCCTAACCATCTCTTTCAATCGATGAATCTGATTCACAACCTCGTAAATTGATTTTCCGTCTTCCTTACCTAGCTAATACTCGACGGAAGCCTCCTCAATATTACTCGCCCTAGTGTACCATCACCCAACACACACACATAGACGAGATAAAACGTAGAGACGCACCTATGGTGAAAGACAGTTAAACTAGGTAGTCATGTCTTCTACTTTCAACGATTGCTATGTCTGTCATTCACAGTCAACCATAAAAGAGGATTTAGCAGTACACACGTCGTTTGGCAGACAGCCAGTCAGCCAGCCGGATACCACACACATACTAAGTCAGAGATAGTGTAGGTTGATTGTCAAATGCCAAACGAGCCTTCTGTATCCATGATGAGATTTCATCAGAGATTAGATCAACCTGCTAATACGGCTGATACAACAAACTTCCTGGGTGAAAAAAGAACAGACACAACAAAAACAGCAGTGGAACCCCTTAAATGATGTCTCATACAAAAAGAACAGAAGAATAAACACTCACTTTAAAACAATAAAGCATAACAAATCAAGGAGAGGCTAATCTAGTAGCCTACGTCAGATTATCTACTAAACAGACATAAGCATGATTTACAGAAGACGGACACACAGAAATTTGTTAGATCGAATAAAATCAATTGATGATTAGACTTAGAGATCAGAATCAAAGATCATTTCACAACAAAATCTCTTCGGTGTCCCACCTCTTAAAGTATAGTATAGTATAGTGTAAGCATATGAAAATTATATATTTGAAAATATCGGATTAAAAAAAATTCAACTGATAAGCGCATAGCCTTAGCTGAAGTACTTACTTTGGACGACAATTTCGACGATTTATTTGAAGAAGTTTTATGCGTCACTTGACGTTTTTTAGCACGTTGACATGGTGTGCTGGAAGGGTTTAGTTTATTATTGTCTTGTGTAATAAAATTATCAAATACAATATTCAATCGATGGTGTGGATCATTGATATCTTCAGGATCAGTGAGTGATTCATTGTCGACAGTTACTCCCTGAATGATACAGAAGAGAAAAACAAATAGGCGGTTAAAAGTATGACAAGAATATTTTTCAAGTGCTGGTTTTGTAGGGATTTGTTCGATTGAATGGAGGATTTCATCATGAGCTGACATCAGTTAGAGAATCACTGGACAGCTGTTTCGTCAGCCTAGTTTGGGACTCTTCATCTGTACGCACCAACCGGGGTTCGAACCCAGGATCTCCATTTGCTTCTGTCTTTTGCTGTACTTTTCATCTCCATCCATGTTAGTCCATACTGTTTCAACTTCTCTTCACACGATCTTCTCCATGTCACCCTTTGGACATCCCGTTAGCCAAAATTGGTGGATAGTAATTTACGTCAATGTGTGTCCCCGATATTGGTCATGAGAAAATGAGAACAAAGGCTTTGCGTAGGCGGATACAGTTAACATATAGATAATCTAACATTCAAGAAACAGCCACAAAGAAATGCAAGGTTAACTTTCGGTGAGAAACAACCAATTAGAAGACTGTGTTTTTCTGCTAACAATAATCTATAATATGTACATGAAAATATATAAATACGTGCTGGTTTCCTTATTAAACGATCTGTTGCCTGGCACTTATCTTCTGTTGTTACAGTATTATAATTAATTCAATATCTTGCACAATCCGTCTCTACTACAAACCCCCGTTTACTAGTTTCATAAATAACAAAAAATAATCTTAATGATGAAAACTAATCCCCCGAAATGTACTTTTCATATAACATTTAGAGTAACGGTGAACACCCATCTAAATATCATAAAACTATACACACACACATCATCCTACCTCAGGCATATCATATTCACAGCGTACAACATGTGAAGCCAGTTTATTCATGATATGATTTTTGTCATTTTCTTCTCGAGACATTCTCTTTGAATCTATTGATATGGATGATGGTGGTGGTGATGACGATGGTGAAGATGTAACACAGTGTTTTTTCTTGCGTACCTTCTTCGATTTATCTCCTATTGATCTACAAAAACAGAAAGAATTAGGAGAATGAGTGAAGAAAAGCAGCTTGTTAATATAATAATTATTATTATTTACAGGTTAGAGAACCATTGGGAAACCTGGGAGTACTGGATAGCTGTTTCGTCAGCCTAGTTTGGAACTCTTCAGCAACATGCACCCTCCGGGGTTTAAACCCGGTAGGGTGCAGCAGGTCGAGTGTGAGGACAAATATTCGCCTAAGACATTGGCTAGGGGTCGCACTATGTCGTCGATTCGCAGAAGTTAGAATTCATGGGCCATTGGATCGGGTCCCAGTGGCTTAATGGTCTACGAGCTCGCTGGCCTTGTAACCACAGGGTCCCGGGTTCGAATCCCGGTGGATGTGTACTGCTGAAGAGTCCCAAACTAGGCTGACGAAACATCTGTCCAGTACTGCAGTACAGGTTTTCAACGGTTCTCTAACCAATGTCAGCTCATGATGAAATCCTGTAACCAATCAATCAAATCCCTACAAACCGACACTTAAATAATTATTATTGTTACCAATCCCTCCTTCTTCTTGCCATCATATAATGATAAGAATAATCAAATAAGGGAAGAAAAGACACAAAGATAATTTTTAACCGTATGCTTATCTAATTTTTGTGATCAATGTACAAAAACAAGAAAGACAGCTAGTGAGTAGAATTATAAATAACTTCTGATGTTATTACAGATGGCGCGTGGGTGGTTGGATACAAACAGATATAACATGTAAATTCAGCATAATAACGTTCTGACACTTCTGATTGTTGACACAGTCTTATCATTGGATAAGGCGTAGACAGTTTCATGTATGTCTATTCTGTAGACTCGCTGTTGACTGTAGACACTAGGTAGTAAACTAATGTCACATTGAATTTGTATCCTTCGTTTGCTGCAGGCTGGGATTCCATCAGTGTTCTTTGTTATGTTGTCATATTAATAATGATAATAATAGTAATATTCTGAACAATTTTTATATAATATACAAAATCCTCAGCAAAGTTTATATTATTGCATGATATTTCTTCTATGTTCAGGATCTTCAAATATAACATTAGTCGACAGTGGATCGTATATAATATAGTTCTCTCCTCACCTGAAGAACAAACCAATCTATTATGATATCTCCTCTTCTTCTTCTTCGACTATTTCGATAAATACACAACATTTTGTTAAATACCATTTATGAAAAGTCCAGGAGTACATTTGGTGAAAGCAGGACACAACTCTGGAACGCTCATCTCATGTATTGGGATAGATAAACTGCCATCTACGATAATGATTTTTCTCATGTTTAGTAGAATCGACTTGTGAATCAGCAGGTTGTAAATGTCTTTTAAATACTCACCAGAGTAAACGACACTATGAGAGACGGTCATTTATTACTACATTTAAATAAAGTGAATAAGCAAAACTATATACAGTATGTATTGATGCCGGTTTTCGGTAGCCCAGGTTTTAAGTAGGCCGTCATGATGCTACGAAACTTGCATAATCGTGGAGCACTTTGAATCATCATCATTATTATTGGATGTAATCGACAAAAAAAAATACTGAATACCCAAGTTTCGCACTTATTTGATTCTCATCAGGGAGGCGTACCACCTGAAATCTCTGATGGGAATCGATAACTCCCTGGTGATTCAAACCCGTTTTACAACTCATTGCTACAGTAAAAGACTTTAAACACTGAACACGAAACTTAAATCCTGATTGCTTCCATAATTAATCATAGTTCAAAATGTTCTAATTTTTGCCTCAGAACAGAACGAAAAGCTCAGAATAACCATTGTTTTTAAAAGAAAAATTAATGTATGTTAATGTCTAGATTGACAACTTGTTCATCAAATTTCCTGTCAGTATATTAATGAGCATTAGTCAACTGTTTTTGTTATTACTAAAAACATTGGATTAATCATTTGTCTTATTATTATTTAGACATGACCATAATTCACACTCGACTTGTTACGTAATTATTGTGTGACAATTCTTATATCGATCACAAATTGACATCAGTTATATAACCACTGGAAAACCTGGGAGTACTGGACAACTGTTTCACGGACCATAGGGTCGAGTCACACTGGCTACATGGTCTATTGGCCCGCCTCATAATCAGAAGGATCTAGGTTCTAACCCCGGTGAGTGCGTATTGTTGAAGAGCCCGAAACTGGACTGACGACGAAACATCCGTCCCATACTCCCCAATGGTTCTCCAACTGGTGTGTCAGCTTGTGATCAATCCTGCAGCCAATTAAATCCCTGTGAATCTCTAGTGACTACACACAAAATAACAGAATATAGACACACACAAATAAGCCACTAGTAGTGTAGTTATAGTTGGACAGGAAAAATATATGCGAAATAAAAAATTTCATCAGAAACTGAAGAGCATTGACTAATATAATGTATCCAGTTTGATCGTGGATTGATACCATTGGCGGAAAGCATTGTAAATCAGGACTGGAGTGTACTGGATAGCCAACTATTTCGTCGGCCTAGTTTGCGACTAATCGGATCTTTACAAAAAAACCACCCATCTAGTGATTGGCTGTAGGACGACGAAGTTGCCTGTCTACAGTTTCTAGTAAGTCATGACCAGTGGGGTTTCACCATCTGGTTGGGAGGAAGTGAGGACAAATACTCGCCAGCGATGACATTGGGTGGTGTCAGTCGCGCAAAAATCACGAAATGGTAAAAGTTAGAATTCATCGACTGGCGGTGATTGAGAAGTCGGTGCCAGTAGTTGCTGAATAGTCTACGAGCTACCTCTAGCTTGACTTTTAGCCGGAAGGTAACGGGTTCGAAACCTACTGAATGCGTGATAGAGATGAGTCCGAAACTAGGACAAAACAGGTGTCTAATAGTGGAGTGCTGGTGGTTTACAGTGGTTCCCTAACTGCTATCGATCTATGTAAGGCAGAAAAATAAACCAACCATTCATCCTACAACAGACTAATAAGAGGGGAAATTAGTTTCTTTGCTAATCATTGGGTTTTTTTCATCAGATTGATGTTGTGTTATGTATTCGGGAACAAATGCATCTAAACTCAATTAGGAACCTTTCACCAACGAAAACTCTAAATTGAAGAGCAACGAAATTCTACATCAAGAACAAGGAATTTGGCAGTCTGTTTAAAGTCAGGGCTACCGAAAACCATCAATACATATGGCAAATATTTAAATCTAGTAACATATTACCTCTAATAGTGCCGTTTACTCCAGCGAGTATCTAAGAGACATAGAACCTGGTGATTGGCAAGTGTCTTCTACTAAACCTGAGAAAAAGCCTTATCCACTTGGATGGCGGCTTATCCGAATACATGAGATGAGCACTCCTGAGTTGTGTATCTGACTGACAAAATGTACTTCTGGACATTTTATAATTGGCATTCAACAAAAAGTCGTTGTGTGTTACTCGAAGGAGACAAAGAAGAGATATCACCATAATCAATTGGTTTGCTATTCAGGTGAGGATAGAACTGTGGTCACACGATCTATTGTCGTCAACTAATGTCGTTTGAAGATCGTGGACAAAGAGACAATATCGTCTTTTCCCAGCCTTTGGAACGTTTCGTGGTTGCACGTGTCTCAATGAGATTTTGTCACCAATACGGTAGAGAACGTAGAGACCATAACCGAACACATTCGGTTATAAAGTAAATAAGTCAGCAAGAGATCTCTACCTTGCCTAGTAATATAAGACAGTCTAACCAGCCCACATCGATCATAAATACACAGGAAAGTGAGAAAAAAAATATTACATAACACAATATGCTTGTTTACCTTAATTTACGATCATCATTCAGAGCGACTGTTTGAAATCGTTTACGTATTTCAACTACAAACTGATCAGATGTAGCTAATGTACGTCCTACAACAATAAAAAATCAATACATTAATAAAATACCCCCGCCCTTTAATTTGAAATCACATTTTATATACACTTGATTGAGAAATTAGTTATTCTAACCGTAATATTTCAGATGACAGGTTATAATGTGGCATGTAATACGACTGACAAGACTCATCAGTAGTATATAAAAGGACGTCGATCGAAGCATAAAAATATCAAATAGCAGAGAGATAGCCTTGATGTCAAAGAAAGGAAACGAATAAGTGTTGCGACTTAACACGGTAGATACGAAAAGCAGACGAAAAAACACAATACGAAGGAAGAGCAGAAGTACAAGGAAGATCTGTGCGACAAGTGACGATTTTCATACAAGATATGCACATAATTTCCCTATATAGAGATATCAAATACTAAATAAACAATTGGTTACCAAGCCTCTTGTCTATTACCGTCACAATAGTATGAATAAAACCATTCTTTTATTTGTAGGGATTTGATTGGTTACAGGATTTCATCATGAGCTGACATTAGCCAGAGAACCATTGGAAAACCAGCAGGAGTATTGCATAGCTGTTTCGTCCTAATTTGGGACTCTTCATCAGTACTAACCCACCAGGATTAGAACCCAGGACCTTCTGGTTACAAGGCAAGCTCGTAGTATACCATTAAGCCACTGGGACTCCCCAATTCAATGGCTCATGAATTCTAACTTCTGCCGATTCAAGACATAGCACAACCTCCAGATAATGTCTTCGGCGAGTATTTGTCCCCACACTCGACCAACTGCACCCCACTGGTCACGACTTCTCACTCGCCTTGTAACCAGAAGGTACTGAGTTCGAATCCCGGGATTGCGTACTGATGAAGAGTCCCAAACTAGGCTGACGAAACAGCTGTTCAGTACTCCCAGCTGGTTTTCCAATGGTTCTCTAACTAATGTCAGCTCGTGATGTAATCTTGTAACCATTCCTTTATTGTTTGTCAACTCTTTCAAAAGTCAGCCTAACTGTGGTATAACTTGATGACGGCTTTCAGCTCTTCCATACTACTATCATTATTTTTCATTGGTTGAAGGGTTTCATCATGAGCCGACATCCCTTAGAGAACCACTGGAAAACCAGCACTCGAGTACTGGATAACCACCTGTTTCGTCATAGTTTGGATTCTTCATCAGTACACACCAACCGCCAGAGTTAGAACCCAAGACCTTCTGGTTACAAGGCGAGTTCATGGCTTAAAGGTCAACAAGCTAACTTGCCTAGGTTGGGATCCCGGCAGTCAGGTGGGTGTGAACTGATGAGGAGTCCCAAACTAGGACGAAACAGCCGGTTGCCCAGTAATCGATTGGTGGTTTTCCAATGGTTCTCTAACTGATGTCAGCGCTCATGATGTAACCCTCCAATCAATCAAACAAAAAGAAACCCTACAAAACCAATACTTGAACAATTATTGTTTTTTTTCACACTTCTCTTTTTTTATCTCTCCCTCTCTCTCTTAGGATGGATCTCTGTTTACTCTCTTTTCTTACACTTTTGTATGGTACATGGAGAGATAGAGAGTGGCATTTAAGTGGAACTGATGCATATCTTGTGTAATGCTCTATGTTGAAATCAGTCGGTCAGTCAGTCAGTCAGTCACATGGTACAATCACAACATACAAGTTAGAATAATTCGATGTTCTCGTGTATTTGAATTTCAGTCATTACAACCAAAAAAAAAGATAATGCAAAAGAACGCACTATATTTTGATGTGGTTGTGTTCTCTCTGGGCTGGATGGTTTATTTGCGAAGCTTCCATCGCCCTACTTACTGGGCTACATCTTCCTTCGGCGCATACTTTAATTTGAAGTGAGCTTTTAGATTTCTCCACAAGTTTATTAATCATCTCTCCTGGTGACCTTGAACGTGATTGGTTGCTTTTGTGTGTTTTCACACCATCTAGGTTACTTGTATTGGAACTGATTGTTTCTTTGACTTGAACTTTGACCCTTCGTGTGTGAGGTTTCTTTCTTATCAGTCGATAAATTTTGTCTATCTCGATGTGTCTATTGATTGAAACAATCAGTTCCAATACAAGTAATCTAGAAGGTGTGAAAACACACATAAACAACCAATCACGTCCAGGGTCACCAGGAGAGATGATTAATAAACTCGTGGAGAAATCTAAAAGCTCACTTCAACAAATTGAAGTATGCATTGAAGATGTCGCCTAGTGTTGGGGCGATGGAAACTTCGCAAATTAACTATCCAGCTCGGAGAAAACAACCACATCAAAATCATTCACCTGAGCTACAAATCTTCTCTATCATATCTAAACTCACTAGATTCAACTACTACTTACCACTATTTGGTTTTTGTAAGTGCTGTGATGAGAATTCAGTTGATTTTGTAGATTCATTTACATCACTGTTATCTACATCACGACTTTGTTCTGTAAAAGAATTTTCAGACTGGGAAGCATCGTTGTTCTTCTTCTCCTTCGGTTTCAAATAATTAGGATTATTCTGTTGCCTTTCCAACCGTTTGGATCGTAACTTAAAATTAATTTGTGAAAACAATAAGTAAAGCAATATACAAGTGTAATTACAATTATGCAATTATTTTAAGGAGACGAGGGGGAAAGGGGATAAACAGATGAGGAGTACAAAACTGCGAAACAATTAGTCCCTTTGATATGTGCATTGGTGGCCTAGCGGTAGGATGCTCGCCGACCATGCATGTGGTCCAGAGCTCGATTCCCGGCCGACGGACATCTTGACCTCCCCCCTCTAGCCAGTTGTACGCCCAACAAAGATAGGGAAGGTTGGTCGTGGGGCTATCAGCCCCAGACATCATCAAACACTGTGAGACTTTATCGAAATAATTTTTACTCACAATGGAATTTTACGCTACCACAATGCTGGGAGCTTTATTCTTATATTGAAGGGAAACATCGTTTTTAAAAACTTAACACATATTATGTAGCTGGCCATTGCAAAAATAAAAAGGGGCTGTACAAATTTCTTTTGAACTGACACACACAGATTTGGCTTGTTCAGATGAATTTCGATTGCCTCTCTGCTGAATGTAGAAGTCGTACTCGTAGACAATGCGGCGAGAGGTTGGGTGATATACGATAAATTACCTTTAAAAGCTTTGTTAGAGTCGATTTCATGTCCAGTATCAACGAGATGAGCTAGTGGAGGGTGGCTACTCTAATGGGGAAAAATAAAAGCAACCAACACACAAAGGGAAATATCGAGAGAACTTTTTAAACAAAACCAACAAACGTTTCTAAACCAACAAAGCTTTAAAATTATTAATATAAATACGTTTTTAATAAAAATCTTTGCTGGCCCTTTTCTTCTTATTTGTGTCTGCTCCACAAAGAAAGCTCCCTGTTTTTTGAGAAATGATCTTGGCGGCAGGTTGCTGTGGTCGATTCAGGATGGAGGTTGGCTGGGGGCGGGGAAAGCAATGAAAGTGGCGAGATGGAATTCAGGTCGAAATTCAAAGTGGGAGGACAATATGGTCACTTCGAGATGGGGTTACGCAGACACAGTCGCAATGGCGAACAATGAGAGGCGCGTGAACGTCAGCGAGCTCCAGAAATGGATACAGCGAGACAAGCCAACGATGACGCCTGCACCAAGTAGATCAAGCCGACTTCAGTCGCACGTATTTGACGGGGGGACGAGTGTGGTGAGAGCAGGCTGCTAGCCGATTGGTTGGCACTAATCTACGTTAAGGTCTAGGTCACTAATATGGGCCGTGAGAAAATATGAACAAGCCTGAGTCAACAACCAATCACAGCAAAGTTAACGTGGCAGAATATGATTCGCAGAGAGAACTCTATTTGTCAAGGAATCCCGAAACAACCAATCAGAAGCCTGCGTTTGTCTACCTAAACAACCAATCAGATGACTGCGCTTGTCTATAATAATGTAGTTGAAAGATGTATAAATACGCGTTGATTTTCATAATAAAACGATCTGTTGCCTGGCCCTTGTCTTCTGTTGTTACACTAGTATTGAGCTGCACATATAACAGCTTTATTCAGACCTTTGCCAAACTAAGATGGGAGGTGTTCATAAATTCGACGATGAACCTGCTTGATCGTAACGCTCTAAGTAACTAGCTCCGTGCGGGCAGTTAAACTGGCAAATACACATGGAAGAGGCGAAACAAACAGAACAGTCTGTCTTTATTTCTTGAATTAAATATTGTTTGGCTAGTGAGTATACAGCATAGCTTAGCCGCGTTGAAAGTCATTTTGAAGGCCTTTTACAGACGTTGTGATAAGTTCTCGATATTGACATCACCAACTGACATACCGATATTGATACCCTAAATATTTCAACTAACTTTGCAACTACCAGCCCCTTACCCCACATAGGCTGTAGGTGACATAATGGAATTATACTCTACCACAGTGCACAAGTTTTATTCTTATATCGCTGTGTTCTAACGTTTGCATATCTCGTCCTTTAGATTTATTCCTTATTATTTTTGTCTTTATTCTTAATTTGGTGCCTAATTTTAATGTTTCTCGTTGCTATTATGCGCGTGTGAATTTTTAAAATTCCTTCACGTTCTCAGTGGAACATAGGGCTTCAAGCTGGAGACTTGAAGTTTCTGTAGCAGTGTTTATTTTTACAGGATGAGGTTTTTAGCTTCATGCCCAACCTCTCATCTTTACCAGCTTTATTACTGCCTTAGCGAGGTAAAGGAGTGCGTCGACCAGGAGTCAAACCCCGGATCATATGTATGGTCGGCGAGCGTCCTAAGCGCTGTGCCTCCGACGCACATTATGTGTGTGTGTGTGATAGTGTTGATAACAATGTATTGCTTTACAACTGAGATTTCGTTTCAGTGAAGTCAAGGTAACGACGACGACGACATGAAGTGACTGTTTGACTTTGGAGGACAGCCTAATGGGGACGCGTTTTGTTCTGTTTAGCTACTTGTAGACAGAGTTCTCAATTGCACACCTTGTTGGGAATATTCTTATCAATTTTCAGGTAATTTATAATTGTTGTATTTGGATGATTAGTTTTGTTGTACATTATGTATTTAGAGGAAGCTGAGAAACTTTTAGAATGTACAAGATGCCGGACAACATTGTTGAGTAGTTCTGTATCTTATACATGTTATTAGTCTTGACTGCCACAAATAATAATAATAATGTTGGCAATAATAATACAATTCAAGTGTTGGTTTGCGGTGATTTTCATCAAGAACTGATATCGATAACAGAACCATTGGAAAACCTGGGAATATTGAACATCTGTTTTGTCAGCCTTGTTTGAGACTCTTGAGAGCAGTACGCTTCCACCGTCAATGTTTGAAGCTCGGACCTTCCGGTTACTAGGTGAGCTAGTAGACCATTAAGCCACTGGGACCACTAGCTATGGCTACATATAATTGCAATAGTACACCTCCCTCCCCGAAATGTCTGACTGGCTGGCTTAAACTAACTCTTATGTATTCCACTGACTGATGAAGCCATGTTTCTGTTTGACCACCACTAGTCAACTCTTTTCAAACCTGATCCACCCCATGTCAGCAACTAGCATTGCCAGTGTTATCGAGGAAGGCGATCGATGGCTAGGCTAAACTAGGAAAGTGTAGCACATGTCCTAACTATCTCTTTTAATCCATGTAACTGCTTCACAACTTCGTCTATTGATGATTTTCGCTCCTCATCTATCTGACCTTCACCATATTACTTACCCTATTATACCACGACCTAACACACACGGGAGGTAGAACCCATACAGACATCTATGATGAAAAACAGACAGCTAGCCAGGCTTTTCATGTTTTTCACTCACAGACATGACGGAGGACAGAGCGAAGTGACTGCTGAACCTGGCCAGTACACATGCCCTTTGGTTGACAGCCAGTCGGATATCACGTCTACTAAGTGGCGAGAAATGGCGTAAGTTGGCAGGCAGATGCCAAGCGAGCCTTCCGTATCCGTACTGAGATTTTGTTAACGATCAGATCAACCCGTTGATGGGGTTGACGCAAATTACCCCCCCTCCCCCGAAATAGGTGAGGTGGTCAACATGCTCCACAAACCAATTCAATCCTTATCTTCCGCATGTAACAGGCAAACGGGTTTCGACACCTGAATTTCGATGTTGCGAGAAATGAATTACTACACAAAATAAACTGCGAAATTGACTACCAGTATATGTTGGAATATAAGATAAACTAAATTATATTCATTTACATTGAAACTGAAAGAAAATATGGACACTGTGGAGCATATAAATTGAGTAGACATAATACAATCAATCAAGCATACAATGGACCCACACAATAAACATGGAGTATCTGGAATTCGCCGATGATATATGTCTGATTTCCCACAAACTGGAAGATATGCAAGTAAAAAGCAACGAGTTGGCAGAAGAAGCATCAAGGGTAGGCCTTCAGATGAACAATGGGAAAACAGAGGTATGTGATAAAGATTCCTGGCCAACAGCAACAGCAACAAAACAACAATCAGCCAGCATAAATGGGAGGAATCTGAAAGGAGCAACCTCCTTTACCTATCGACCTGGTAAGCATCATTTCAACTACAAGTGGACGGAACTGATGATATCGAAAGATATCATCGAAGATATCGAAACGAGGATCGGAAAACCAAACCAAGCCTTCACTACTCTCAAGTCTGTGTGGAGATCAGCAGCACTCAGCATGAAAATGGAAATAAGATCCAGATTTTCAACTCCAATGTGAAGTCAGTGCTACTTACCATATGGATCAAAGACTTGGCGCGTCATGAAGAGCACCTCAAACAAACTACACACGTTCATCAACACCTGTCTTCGCGACGAGTTGGCCGTCAGTGCGAGAGTGACATGGAGGAGGTCATGTGAAGAGGAGATGAAAGTATGTGGACAGACCTGGAGCCAGGCGATGAAAACGTTGGCAGAGAACCGAATGCAATGAAAACGCGCTGCTGAATCCCTATGTCCATACCCTACCTAGCCCGTGTTCTGTGCGATAAAGAATGCATCAGCATGAAACCTTAACTTATTAAATAGTCAGTAGAACCAATGGATCTCGTCTTTCCAACTCACATCATTTATAGGTACAACGTTTTCTCGCTCTTCATTCCGTATTTTATTTTTGTTATGTGCTGTTTTGTTTCTCTCTTTCTTGCAAACTCTACTTAAAACATTCTTGTTCGTTCTTTCACACTCTGTATATCTCGACCATTTTGCTATCGCTTACGCCAGTAAATATGCTAGTAGTATCTACTTTTCTAACACCTTCAAACACTTTAATTTTGGCTTTGCTACCGACATACTAATATGTTGTTGAGATAACTTTAATCTATGTAGAACTTTATTTATTGTTAATGTAAAAAACTGGATGCAATATTGTAGTAAAATGCTGAGAATTCCATTCTGTATCACAAGTACTGATTTGGAATAAAGCTTATGTTATGTTATGTTCCTCTAGGAGCTAAAAGAAACAATAATAATAACAATAATGCAATCAATCGCACTTTGGGCTGTGCTCCTTCATAGTTACACGTTGTTTCACAAATGCATTCCAAAAAAGAGACACTGAGGAACAGAGGTTAACAATCTAACACAACTCACTTCATCCAATTGTTCAGGTGTCAACTTTACAGTTGAAGGCTTAGAATCATGTAGATCAGTGAATATATCACCACCACCAGCACCAACTTCTGAGTTGTTACGTAATTCGTTGTTCATTGAATGCATTGAATGATCATCGTTTACAGACTTCTGTAAGAAGAAAGATAATAAAATAAAAAGCATTAAAGCAAACAAGCAAAACATCACAATGACAAAAAGGATGATCAGTAAAAAGTTGATACACTAACACATCAGTGCATAAATTCACTCAATTAATCGTACTATATTAAAGTAGACAGAGAGAGTACTTGTTTGGATACTAATGTTAATAACTTGTGTAATGTGTGCCTAGTACTTTGTTTGGTGTAGACCGAGTTCTATCAGTCAAATTTTAGTAGAGGTTAAAGATGCCCAGGAAGGCTTCGCGTGCTTTTGGAAGTATGTCGGCGGCTGCACACACCGTGGAGGTTGATTAATTCTTCAGGTACTTGAAACAGAGAGAGGGTTTAGTGTTGCGTCACCGCAGAGCCCAGGGGACAACTGCTTGAGGCCGGTCATACACGGTAGTAGACCACTGAGAATTAATAAAAGTGACAACACCACCACCTCTCTTCTTCTTTGAGCTGCATCGGTCTTGTCTGTAGATTGTGAAACCACTTAAGGAGACTAAATTATCGTCATATGAATCATGGAGCCAAGTTTCTTGAAGAGTAATTACACCAGTATTACAATATACATTTGAGTATAACAGAGAATGCAAGTAATTAATCTTGTTCGATAATGACCTGCAATTTGTGCTCAATCACAGGAACAATCATCTGATGCATTGGAGTACACTTTAAGGACCACCTTTGCCACCCATTATGATGCTTTTTTATTAAGGTTATTATATACTCGTAAATCATCACGTTGAAAACTTTTTAAATAATTGCGAGAGTAAGTAATGGGATTTGGACACATAACTGAATAATAAAAACAAAATAAATACGAGGAAATAGATGCAATATGTAGGATGGAAATTTTGGTAGGCCAAGATTTAAGCAGGCCGCCATAAAGTTTCCATTTTATATGCTGCATGTTTCTGACATTACCGCTATTGTAAATGTGGAAAATTTTCTGTGTGATTAATGCTGAAAATTTTTATTCTGTATCACAAGTACTGTTTTTGGAATAAAGTAAACTATTATTTTGAACAACACATTTAAGCGAACAATATTGTTTTCAATTAGATCTCATCAGGCTTAACTCTAATATATATAAGTTTACAAATAAAAATTCAAATATAAACCAATCATGGTGTTTTGTCTATAGGATAATACGATAGTGAATGTAAATTGTGCAATTAGTCATAATAGTGGTAATGATAATATTAATAATAGTAATAACAATAATAATGGTCTTATCAATAATAAGGATGAAAAAATGAGGCAATCCGTGATAACACGAATAATGAAAAACAGAAATCACCGATAGGCAATTAGACTTAGGAATCCCCTTGTGTAGCCTCAAAGAATTACTTCTTAAATGCACAATGAATGTTCACTTCGTCTTCAATAATTCATACTATCGACAAGTAGATGGAATAGCTATGGGTTCACCATTAGGCCCAATATTAGCTGACTTCTTTCTCGCAAAACTTGAAAACGGGAAATTGAAGGATACCATCAAGGAGTTGGATATGTATTACCGATATGTCGATGATACATTTATCTTAGCTGATGAGAAGGTTAACACAGACGAATTGTTACTTAAATTCAACAACATCCACCCTTCGCTTACCTTTACTTGTGAAGAGGAGCAGGAGAATAAACTACATTTCCTGGATGTCTTGCTAAGTAGGAGAGAAGATGGGTCACTTGGGAGAAGTGTGTACAGAAAAAGCACATTCACAGGGCAGTACACACACTTCCTTAGTTACGTGCCCATTAAATATAAAAGGAATCTTGTAAAATGTCTCGCGAGCAGAGCAAGGAAGATATGTACGGAGGACCTCTTACAAAAGGAATTTGAATATATTCACGATTCCTTGACGGAGATGGGTTAATCCGAGTAGTTTCATAAAGAAACATATGAAACCATCAGAGAAAAAACCTGTGACTCTGACTGCACATAAGAAACCTCTATTTATTAAGTTACAATTTAATGGGGACTTATCTAGTGAGATTCTATTCCAAAGACTTTCAAGGAGCATACGTAGAACATTTTACGCAGCACACCTATGTTTGTCATTCTCTAGCCGACGAATGATTGGGACGCAAACGAAGTAAGCTTGAAGTTTTGCCACATCTATGTGTATTATCAATCAACTGCACCTGCGGTGACAGTTATATTGGGCGTACTACTAGACAGCTTAGCCAACGTGTTAGTGAACATCTCCCATCGTGGTTTGGCAAAGGACAGACAAAAACAATCCGTAGCTCAATTCTGTCACATCTAATTGATAGTGGTCATGTAGTCGATAAAACGAAAGCCTTCAAAGTAATTCATCGTATCCCACCGAATCTTTCCAATAGACTTCGTATTCGTCTACTGTACACAGCTGAGGCAGGTGATAGGCATTCGAACTATTAAACCTAAACTATGCATTCAAAAGAAGTTCGTACAGCCATTATCCCTCCCGTGGCCTAATAAGACATAAACAACTAAAGACTTCTACACCACCCCTTGTTTATATTTTCAACCCCTTTCTTATCATCCCTTAATCCTATCACATCTACATTAAAAACGTGCTTCATTTCCTTCCCTTACAATCTAACATTACGTAATCGGTTCATTTGTTTTTACTAGCCTTTATCGACTACTTCCACCTGAACAATTGTTTGTTTAATCATACTGTTTTTCATTATTCGTGTTATCACAGATTGCCTCATTTTTTCATCCTTATTATTGATAAGACCATTATTATTATTATTACTATTATTAATATTATCATTACCACTATTATGACTAATTGCACAATTTATATTCACTATCGTATTATCCTATAGACAAAACACCATGATTGGTTTATATTTGAATTTTTATTTGTAAACTTATATATATTAGAGTTAAGCCTGATGAGATCTAATTGAAAACAATATTGTTCGCTTAAATGTGTTGTTCTAAATTTTACTATGGGAATATTTAATATACATTATTATTATCATTATTGTTTTATACTGCAAATCTGGTCTTTCTCTCTCTACCGAAATTTATCAAGGGAACCAAAGGTATGAAATCTAAGTTCTCATAAAATACGTCAAAATAATACGCACACAAAGCAAAATTGATATGTACCCACATGATGTGTGTTTTGTTTTTGACAGTCTATTATATTTTGCTATGTGTATATGAATCGATATTCCATTATAACTGACATCATGCCTTTGTCTGTCCACTAACTAAATAAACAATGTATGACCTTGTTGTCATATGACATTACAACCAATCATGTTAAGACTGTCTATTTATTGGTTCATGTGTATTAGCCATTTTTATATATACTTTTGTATTAGACACTTGTTCATACTTTCCTGTTTCCCACGTTCGTACATCTAAGTTCCCTTTCACTCACACACGCTTGTGTGACATTGTTATGTACTCGTCGCCAAATTATTGTTATGTACTGGTCGAGAATTTAATAGTCCTGACGCAAGAAAGACGGAAATCAGAAGACCACTAGGTTTGCGATGATAATTCTATTTTCCAAAACACAAGGAGAATCAAATATATCACACAATAGTGTGAGAGCAAAATATGAAAATGTCCGAACCAGTGTGTGAACAAATCAATAGACAGTCTTAACATGATTGGCTAATTATAATGGAATATCGATCCATATATACACAGGGAAATATAACAGACTATCAAACTAACACACATATTATATGGAGATATATATCACCAAGACCAGACTGTCAACAAACACACATATTATATATACCATAAGGGGAATATACATTGTTAAAGGAGACAGGTCCATCAAAGTGAAATGGTCACAGACTAAGAGAGCAACAGAAAGAGAGACCAACATATATATATATATATATCAGACATTTATTTTCCTTGTCTGGAAAATACAAGTATCATCGTAAACCTGGTGGTCTTCTGATTTCTCTCTTTCCGCGTCAGGACTATTAACTACTCGACGGGTACATAACATAATTGGCGACGGGGAAAACTCTATTAACCACTCAGCAGCAGTACATAACAAAAATATGATACGGAAAAAAGAGGGAAAATTTTTAAAAATGACTAACTAACTAACCCCAACAAAGTCTATAGTACTGGTCCAATGTGGTTTACATACTGGTCCAGGTGGATTAATCCAAGCATCCAAATCTAAGCCTTCAGGAATTGGTACTCTTTTCTGAGCTTTTGGTGCAACAGGAATAATTTCACCAGCGAATAAGGCGTTCAATTCATCAACCATCGACTGAATTAAATTAATCACTAAACTTGGTGATAATGTGCTAGGCGGGAATGCATTGGAAGTTTCCAGCTGAATTGAGCTCGGCTGTGAATTCAATGACGCGGCATCATCATTATTGTCACTTGATGATGATGTTGTATTCATTTTTGAAGTGTTATCATTAGAAGCAGCAGCAGTGGGATTTAATAACTGTAACTGAGGACTACTATTCTCTGCATTATGTGATAACTTATGATTATCCGTAGACGGAGAAGAACTGTTGTTTGAGATGACAGGCGGTGGTACACATGATGACGGCGATGAATTGGTCAAGAAAGACCGAATCTTAGTCAAACGTTTTAAGATGAGGTTCAAAATTTGATGAATGGATACAGCCTTTAGTAGGAAAGGTGAAGTAAAAAATAAAAGAGATTATGATTTAATTTGTCAAATATTGTCAGAGGAAATAAATTAAAGTGTTTGATTGTAGGGATTTGATTGGTTTACAGGATTTCATCATGAGCTGACATTGGTTAGAGAACCATTGGAAAACCTGGGAGTACTGGACAGCTGTTTCGTCCCAGTTCGGGACTCTTCATCAGTACGCACCCACAGGGATCTGTTCTCTAACCAATGTCAGCTCATGATGAAATCCTGTAGAGGAAATAAATGTTTAATCAAAGAGAATATTTACAACTGTAACAACAGAAGACAAAGGGCAGGCAACAGATCGTTTAATTGAGAAAATCAACAGATATTTATGGATAAAGCAATAAGAATGAAGACGTGATTTGTCTGATTCGTGAGTGTAATGTATTTGAGCAACACATTTCGAACAATCTGATCACAGACACAGACTTTTCATAGGAATGTGTATATATGAAATTGATAAACAGTTGAGAGGTGAGAAAATAGACTACTTAGATCAAGTTAAAAGGACATATTGAAGGTCAAAATAACAATGAAGGTCAATCACTAAACCAAATAGCAGAGGTAATAGCACATCTACCATGGTTAGTATCAAAACAAAGTTTACCAAAGAAGGTGGTGGTTTATTGTGATGACGAATTGTTGCTTTGAACGAATAAAGGTGGTCTAAACTAACTAATTGCTAGGGATTCCAAAACTTTAGGATACACCCCAAACACGTTTTATAGATAGGTTTAAAAGATTTGTTAACGTCAATTTTATATCCTGCTTCTATAATATGTTTTACAATAGAGGAGTTAGGTCTCTGCATTAATGGTGAGAACAGGAGACCAGCCCCTCTATTGCGAAACATATTAGAGAGGAGACAAGATATCAAACTGATGTTTACATGTGTCTTTTAAACGCATCTATAAAACGTGTTTTTGGTAGGGTGTATCCTAAAGTTTGTGCAAGGCCTAGCTGCAATTAGACAGTTTAAACCACCTGATAGGTAGTGTAGTTGCATATACAGGAGTTCACTCACATAGTGCTACTGATATAGGGATCGTAGAAGTCGAGATATAGACCCTTCAACTACTTTGAAAAAAAATGTAAATACGAAGAACGACGTCTAAAAGAGCAAAGGCCAAAGGTGACAATGCTGGAACCAAGGCCGAACTGTCAAAAAGCCAAGTGTCTTGCCGTTAGCACCAACCAGTGAGACTTTAGGCTTACTCCCGAATGTCGACGAATTTCATAATTCGGAGATATAAGTAATAGCTGAACTCAATGCCGTGACATGTAAAGACGATTCAGATTGCGAATACAAGTTACCTACCATCATATCAAGAAACTACACGCCTTGTCAACATAGGCAAACTTAATCATTTCAGTGGAAAACTGAGAATTAGGAAGCAGTCGAATTCAGTAATACGTTCAGTGAAATCACCAAAAACTCATCTTGTCTCAGACAATATCGTCTACCATAAAGATGAATTTGAAGGACAGCATAGGTTTAGTTCATTTTATGAAAGCCATGAGTGGGAAATATTGTAACTTAAGGAGAACTGTGGAGGTTAAATGTATGAAGAACAGATGCGTTGGTTGCAGAACCAGGTCTGTGAAACCAGACGAGAAGTTGGTGGTAGCATTACTAGAGACAGGAATGACGCTGGATCTTTGGTATTACTGCACAGGTTCAAATGACGCGGACCCTTACAGTGAAGTAAGGATGCCCACATATGAAAGATATGGCAACACGTCTAGTTGTTCGAAGACTCAAGCACTACACTTAGAAGTGCAGAATGCATCTTCACGAAAAAATATATCCCAAAAAGATAGTTTATCAATCCAGTCTGTGTCCAGTGGATCGAAATCATGACGATTGGTAACAGGACAGAAATCTTTAAAATTCTTTGAAATGAACTAAATGAACATCACAAGCGATTTCACCAACTAAGTTGAAAACATCCCCAGAAGCATAGTAAGTACCATGCCACGTAGTGAAAACTGAAGTGGAAATCTCTGCACTTAAACTGACTATATCTTCTAGCTTTGTCTGTACAAACAGTGTCTTCATTAGATTCTGATGCATTATTGGAATCTTAATTTGTGATATGTTTTAACATCAATTTTCGAACTCATCACCACTAGTACACACCTATAACGCTGACAAGGTTCCAACCCACCACCGCCTTCCGTTCACGAGTCAAGTTGGCTTGTAGACCATTCAGCTACTGACACGTGACTGAATGGCCCATGAAATCTAACTTCTAACTGATTGGTGATTTTATTGCAACTGGCACCAAACAATGCCCTCGTTCTGGCGAGTATTTGTCCTTACTCTCAACAGGATGAATACCACCGGTCACCACTTCTCATTAGAACACTCCAGGATACAACTTCGTCCTGCAGCCAGTAGTCGCCGGCGAGCATCAGATTAATCTCCAAGAGTTTGTTTGCAGGAATTCGATTTGTTTCAAGTTTTGATCATGGATGGATATCTGTTAGAGAACCGATCACTGAAAACCTAGGAGTACTGGACAGGAGTTTCATCATCCCAGTTTGGGATTCATCAGCGGTAGCATTTTATAGCTAGCAAATTATTGGCTAAAAACTGCGAATACGTTTTACTTGAAATCGATGTTTCAAGACTTTTAGACAAGGTGCACAAGTCAGTTACCTAGTTACAAATCAGTTAGTCACCTGCACCAGATTGCTGAGGCTAGGCAAGAACAGTAGATGGAACAAGACTCGAACTTGAGACCGATACACATTAAACTAATAAAGGATAAAAAGAAAAATTCACAGAAGAGTATTAGAAAATATGCAAAAAAGGGGCATGAAAACTTACGCGTTCTTGAACTTCTATATCAGATGAATGAAAATATTGTAAAATTTATTCATAAGAGAATTTGTTAATTGCATAAGATGGTTGATTAACTGTTGTACAATTTTAAGATCGTCTATTTGTTTTGTAGAAACACCGTCATCATCATTATTATTGCTGTTGATAATATTGTTTATAGATGAAGTTGATATACTCTGAAACGATTGTTTTGTCGCATTTTTCACAACAACGGTGTATATTTTAAAAGCATTAAATAGAGGATAGCTTGAATTGAACAAGACAATCCAGGTATTTCAAGTGCTATTGAAATAATTGAATTTAAAGTTTGTTCTGGATTGCTTAGACTACTGAATAATAAAAATAAGTAGTAATAACAGTAAGTGGTGGTGGTGGTTATAATTTAAAAATATTTATTTCATTATTTTTAACATCATGTAGTTTACTCTATAAGGCGAATGTGCATCGGTGGATCAGAGGCGGAGGACACTGATCAACCACAAAGCTAAATATAGTCCGGTGGCAAGATTATCGACCACCTATTCTTGTACCTCGCTAAACCCGTAATAAGGCGGCCAGTAAAGAGAAAACGTTGCGCTAGGTGAGGGCTAGCAATTCCACGCCCCCGTAAAAGTAAAATCACTGCTACTGAGACATCAAAGCCATATGTTTCATCACTCGGAAGGCAAAGGAATAAAATAATCAAATAAAGTATAAGACTATTCAGACACGTGGTAGAGGGAGAGAGAGAGGGGGGGACAATCCACATCGACAATGAAAGAAACATAAAATGACATCAGAATATGCATTAACAATAATGACAAGACAGAGAGAGAGAGGGAGACAATATTTACGTACTGAGAGTGATGATTTCCGAAATTTCGAGGATAAAAAGTCAACCCACATATACCACTATAAACAATTTTACACAGTTTAATTGAATTTTTGATTTTCCCGTCGATTGATTGACTGGACCGAAGTCCTCGGTCTCAGGTTGACGTGTCGGCTTCTCCTTGCGCAAATGCTTCGAAGATGTCTGAGCATTTAATTAGTATTTAATTGGTGGATGGTGACTAGCAGTGAAATCCAGGATAAAGCGCATTTCGTTCTATTTGGGACTCGTCAACTGGATGTACCTGTATTTCTCAGTGAGTGGTGATCTTCCCACCGAGACTCGAACCCAGACATCGTCGAAGCATATGCACAAGGCGAAGCCGACATGTCAACCTGACACCAAGCATTTTGGTTCAATCAATCGACGGGAAATTCTAAAATTCAATTAAATAATTAATATGACCCGTTGCACAAGAGGTGGCTCTCGTGGCTCAAGTGGTCTAGTGGATAACGCTTCGGCGTTTGAAACTATGGGTACTGAGTTCGAGCCTCGGTGGGGACATCATCACTCTCTGGGGAATACAGGTACATCCAGATGACGAGTTCCAAATAGAACGAAATGCGCGTTATTATGGATTTCACTGCTAGTCACCATCCATCTATCAAATTTTACACAATACCTGCGATGAATAATCTCCAGCTCGAACTCTACTACAACCAGCTATACGACAAAATTGCCAACAACTGGTGACGTTCTAGTCTAATCAAAGTAAGTTTTGTGTTTAAACATAAATCCTATTAAAGTACTATTGCTCATAAGTATATATATATATATATATATATCGTTCCACGAATTTTTTTACATTAGCCGTGTTTTGAATTGGTTTCTGTAGTTGTCTACAAAGAAATAATATGAAGGAGTGTATATTATGTCTTTCGACTGTTAATTTGCGATCACCGATGATACAACTGCTTCAGCTAATATAACATTTCTCAAAGTTCATCCAGTCTGAATACAGAAAGAACGAACATATTTTTAGGACAATACGAGCACGTCTGAATTCGTGGATTCTCTACAACTGCGTGTACATCCTAAACAACTAAATCAACTTTAAGCAACAAAATTTCTGTATATACTTTTTACAATGACTTCAAGTTATAGACAGAAATATAATTGGTTGCAGGTTTTCCAATGGTTCTCTAACTGGTGTCAGCTCATGATGAAATCCTGTAACCAATCAAATCCCTACAAACCATTGGAGCTCATCGGCAGACGTATGGACAAAGGACTTATTGGATACCCTGGATGTCTGGCCCCATTCAAAAAGGCGTATGAACCGGACTCCGGTCACCGGCTGCCAACGGATAGTGGACTCCCTACTCCACTCCTACTGCCTTGTAGTCACACTTGGTTGTGTAAAAGCTAGAGCTGCACTCTCAAACAAAAGGCCGAGGGATGCTGGGGATATCACTGTACCTAATTCCCATGAAACTACATGAACTCTTGTTCATGAAGCCGGCTCATCCTCCTGTAGGAGATAACCGAAGTAAAGTAAGTAAACCAACACTTGAAGAAATATAATTGTAAAGATGATGTAAATAGACAATGGGGGGAGGCAGGTAGGTTTAGATTTCTCTGGAAACAAGGATGGATTAGAGACAAAACACAAGAGAGAATAACACAGTGAATTTATACATATTATGATGCATAATTTTATGAGGATGAGCATGAATAGTGAAGTAAAATTATAAGATAGATAAAATAATTTAATTTAGTAGATTTGTAAACTCAATAGTGAGTTCAACTCAGTCAGTAAGTGAAAATCAAAATTAGGTAGTATGTTATGAACGAAACACAAAAGCAAACGAGCAAAACAATTATGGTTACTATGTTGGGTAGTGAAAGGTTAGTCACACTATCTTTCTGTATGCGTAGGTTGGGTCGAAATATTTTGATGGTAACAGACGGCTTCTACGAACCGAAGTAATCATGGATTTGCTCTGTGTATTGATTATTTTTGAACGCTTGACTAATTCTCACTGTATACCCACCCAGTGTCAATCAGGTGTATGGCAATTGCCCTTGACAACATTTTGCTGCCTTTTAAACGGAAACTTTTAGGGATATGAGAGATTGGAGAATCTAGCATTCACTCTTCTCTCAGTCCTTCCTATGTAATTGCTGCCACAAGCGCAGGTGAATTGGTGAATACAGTTTGGAGTTAAGATGATCACAGGATATTTATCCACTTTTGAATGGGTTAACAAGCATACTGTGTTGTAAAATGGAATGAGTCTGGAGGGAGTAAATGTTCTATCCAATGCATCTTAAATTCTGTTTTCCGTTGTTCATCCAGTCTATTCAAATAAACGACACTGCAATTCAGTATTCCTCAGTTGGGTCTTTTGGTTTAGAAGATAGTATACTGTGAAAACGATGTCGTCAATGAAAGCCCTTCCTATTTTCGAAACAAGTATGAGTATGAACTAGTCCATTAATACTTATTATCATAAATAAGCGAAATGTATGTCAACCCCCAAATAATCCAGTTTCTCTCCTTCTACAATGTGACATTGAAACTCTTGCAAACTGTGAAACGTCAACTTAGAGGACAATTGATTATTTAACAGACCCACCTCACTGACTGACTCTTCTCTCTTACTGGTTTTATTATATAATTCCGTCGCGTTTCCAGTGAAGATAGGGATTCAGAGTTAAAGCTTTGAAGTTTTGATAGCAGTGGTTTTATTTTTACGGGGCTGTGGGGGTCGTTGGAACTGCTAGTCATACTTAGCCCAGCATTCTCTCTGTACCAGCCACCTTACTATTGAATTAGCGAGCTTTTTGGAGTAGGTCGAGCGGGACTCGAACCCCAGACCACCCCACCTGATCAAATGTATACACACAGATATTGAAGCTAATTATTCCAGCATCATTTCAATAATTCAAGGAAACCAAATAATTTTCAAGTATTGATTTTTTAGGGATTGTGTTTGATTGGTTGGAGGGTTTCATCATGAGCTGACATCAGTTAGAGAACTATTGGAATCGGAAAAAGTTAAAAATCAAGGGTCATTGGATCGGGTCCCAGTGGCTGAATTGTCTACGAGCTAGCTTGCCTTGTAACCAGAAGGTCCTGAATTCGAACCCCGATGGCGTGGGTGCATACTGATGAAGAGTCCCAAACTAAGATGAAACAGTTGTTCATTCAGTACTTTTAAGTTTCCCGATTGTTCTCGAACTGATATTAGTTCATCATGAAACCCTCCAACCAATGTAACCAAATAAGTTTCTTGTGGTAATTAATAATTTGTGAAAGCATAACACTCGCCACGAGAATTAATAATAAATTAATTATATAATACACAAGCTTACTTTGCATATTCACCACAAATCCATGCTGCTGCACGAAGTGTCTCCTGTATAGCGTTTTGTTTTGCACCATTTGTTAACGATTGACTTAAATCAAGTAATATTGCCATTTGTTCAACACAGAATGCTCTAACAGTTGGTACACGTATTGCAACATCCATAAGTTGAGCTGCTAACAGCTCTCCATTTCGAATACCATCAATGCTGGCTAGTTCTACGAGTACAGTAACATACCTAGGGTAAAGAAGGATACATGAGACGGTACTACTATGGTATTGCCAAAGTTACTCATGAACGTAAGAAGAAATGTACACAAGTTATAATACTTAAAACTGTTGATTTCTTGGCCTTATTGTTCAGAACATAGTTAGATTCCATTTATACATTTCTACCTGCCCTATACACAGAGAGTAACATCTCTTGTGAAGTTTGATAGCCAAAAAAACATACGAAAAGTCAATTATGTTGTAACAACATAAAACAAGGGCCAGACAGCAGATTGTTTATTAGATTGAAAAGAACAAGAAGTTCAGCAAAGATGGTGATCTTTTCGGCGATTTCATTCTCAAAAGCAGCTGTACAATCGCATTTATATAGATTATTTTACATGGATACAATTATAATTTGTTTAATTCCACATAATAACAAAGGTGATAATAATTATCAACTTGATATAAAAGTTTGAAGGTACGAATATAGATTACAAGACGAGACTGCATAGGATTAGAAAACAGTTACAACGTATGCAAAATAAATATATTTGATAACTGGAGAAATAATTTTAAAGGCGAATAAAAGGTGATAAGTCATCATCTTTAGGGAATTGGAGATTCTCGTTTTAAGGATATCTGCTGCTAGATCTCCCCTGAATTTCAGATTCAAATAAAGTGTATTCTGCTCTTTTTGGCCTTGGATTCATGTGCTTCTCCACGAAACGCGGTGGGTATCCATTTTGAACCAGGATGCTTTTGACAAAATAGGAGCTCTTCTTCTAAACATTCATCGCTACAAATTCTTCTGGTACGGTGGGCTAGCGAGATGATGACAGCTCTTTTACGGCTGATAGGTAACCAACTGTAGAAGTTTGTCAGTTGCCCAATCCATGTTGGTTTTCTATGGATAGATCTTTTCAATGTCAATTCGACGTCAAGGAATGGAATCTTTAATTTCTTTTCAACTTCCATTGTGAATTTAATTGAAGGATGGCAGTTATTAAACTCCTGTAAGATACAATTTAAATCAGAATCATCCTGACAAACTATAAAAGTGTCATCGACGTATCTTTCGTACAGCAACAATTTGTCCATTGTTGATTTGAAGATGCCGTTTTCCAGGCTGGCCATGATGCAGTCTGCCAAAAGTGCGCCAAGGGGAGAACCCATAGAAATCCCTTCGTTCTGTCGAAAGATGACGTAGTTGAATGTAAATTATACGTTGAGTGTGAGAAAATCAAGAGATATTTATAGATTTTTAATTACATTATTATTTGTTATTTTAGCAGAGAAGAAAGTCTTCTGATTGGTTCTCCTTGTAGAAAGTTATTCTGTACTGCTTGAGACTGTTGCTCACAAAGTTATCTTTATATGTCTGCGAATCGTATTCGCCCACGCTAAGCCTTCTGTGATTGGTTGTTGAGTTCCTCAAGGTTAAGCTTTGTTCTTGTTTTTTCTTCTAATGACCCCTATTCGGGACGTAAATTGTTCTTTACAATTTTGGCTTGCAGACAGCACTCACGACAATATCACTTACTTCCCACTGAGTAATTATCAACAACAATTCGGAGTGCACTGCCGTTATGTCGAGCCACCTAGAATGATGGGACCACGTTTCACATTTGACTGACGATAGAATTCAGCCTGCACCGACGACAGGACTAGACACATTACACACTAGTTACTGACTGGTGTCTAGTCAAAAATATCCAATACAGTCAGTCCTATAAGAGGTCAATCGCGAGCCTGAATAGCTCAGTGGTAACGCATCTCTCTGACTGCAGCACAGGGTGGTGGCGCGGGTTCGAATCTTAGAAGGGATATGAATTCCTTCAAGGCGGTTTCAGATACGCCTTGCTGACTAACTGGTGAGTGCCAGCTAGCACGAAACCTAGGTCCAAGGCTTCTTGTCGACTGCCTCCAACCATCTAGTAGAATTCAGTCTGCACCAAATAAAGGACTAGACGCACATGGTACTAGTTCCTATAACTAGTGTCTAACCAAAGTGTACTTGTCATTCTTATAGTAGAGACGCGTTTCACCCGTCAGCATACACCCACTTTATCAATTTGACGCGTCCAGAAGAGGAAATGAACCAGCATCGAGGGAAAACATGAGAGACACGAAAAGAAGTACAATACGAAGGGCACATCACTTTAGACATCTTTTGGTTCCAATACACGCCCAAATTTTCTTCTTTATCGAGATTATAACCTGCTAAGGGAGATAAAGGTGTGTTTGTGTTGGCCGAGAATTGAACCTCCAGCCACATGGATGGTTGGCCAACATTATAACGCCGAACCATCGACGGAGTGGGATTCGAACTCAACATCCAAAGATTTGACTGCGACCTGAACGCAGCACCTTGGAGCGCTCGGTCATCCTGACGAAGAGTCATAAAATAACTTGCAGATAACATAAAAAAATAAAAATAAACCATATACAATAAAAAACTTGGAGGATCTGGACTTCGCCGATGTCATATGTCTGATTTCCCACAAACTGGAAGATATGCAAGTGAAAAGAAACAAGTTGACGACAGAAGAAGCATCAAAGATAGGACTTCAGCTGAACATAGAGAAAACAACAGTAGGTGATGAAGATTCCTGGCCAACACCAACAGCAACAACAACAATCAGCCAGCATGAATGGGAGGAACCTGAAAGAAACAACCTCCTTTACCCACCTACCTGGGACGTTTCGCTTCAACTACAGGCGGAACTGACGAGGATATCAAAGCAGCGAGGATCGGAAAAGCAAGACAAGCTTTCATTAGCCTCAAGTCTATGTGGAGGTCAACAGAACTACTCAGCATCAAAAATAACATCCGAATTTTCAACTCCAGTGCTACTCTATACGGATCAGAGACTTGGTGCGTCATAAAGAGCATCTCAAACAAACTGCAGACCTTCATCAACTGCTGCCTTCACTCAATACTCAAGATCAGATAGATGACAGGCGAGAAAAATCAGAAACAGGGATCTGTGGGAGGGAACCAACCAGGAACCGATTGTGCGACAAATAAGCAGGAAGAAATGAAGGTGGAATGGTCATACTCTGATAAAACCCTCAAGTGACATCACTAGACACGCCCTCGAGTGGAAGCCAAAAAGGGAAGCGTTGAGTTGGTCGTCAGTGCAAGGGTGACATGACAGAGGAGGTAATGTGAAGAGGAGATGAAAGCGTGTGGGCAGACTTGGAGCGGAGTGAAAACGTTGACAGAGAACCGAACGCAATGGAGACGCGTGGCTGAAGCCGTATGTTCCTCTAGGAATTAAAGGAAATAATAATAATAATGCAATAACAACAACAACAATACTACAAGACAAAGTTAATCGATCTATACACTTACCATTCAAAGGAAGCAACATAATGATAATTATCCTGTGAGCAGATATACACAACTTTATTCAACAATTCATTACGATAATGTGTACCAGATGACGTATTGGCAATATGTATCATCAAATGTTTAACAATATCGGTTAAATTTGTTTTTGAAACCATTCCATGCAGTAAATCCAATGCACGTAGTCTAATTGACTCATCTTTATCATCCAGGCAACTTAATATTAAATCTTTATGCGGTTGAACACTCTGTGGATGATACAACAGGATTTTTCGCATAGCTAATAATCCAAGATATTTTACTAGAAATTATTGGGGGAAAAACAAAAGAAAAAACAAAAGGGGATTCTGATTACTGACATATATAAACATGTAGAAATAATAAAAAAACAAAAATAAGGTGAAGTTCAACAATAGCGTCCCCGAAGAGTGCGAACGTACGAGTGACCTTCAGTTGACCAATCATAAAAATGAGGAATGTTTGGTCAAATGCTTGAAAATGCATTAAACAGGTTATCTTTCTCTGACATGGCTTAAAAATTACGTCCTAGTTAAATGAGGAGTATCAATTGTTAAGTTAGACTAGTTTCTGTACGTGTATATTCATCGAGATGACTGAAGATGACCTGTTTTTGTGAATCTTCTATCTCTCTTATCTTGTTGTGCAGTCCCCCCCAAAGCCCCCGGTTGAGTTATTATGGTTTCCATTAAGAGGACCGATGAATACTTACCAGGGAAATGTGGATAATAAAACAAATTAAAATAAATGACATCAATTATAAATCTATCCCTAATCGTAACTTTAACCTTAATCCTGACCCTAACACTAACCTTACTCATAAGCCGTATCCAAACCATAATTCTAACCCTAATGCTAATTATAACCCTGATCCTAACCTTAATGAGATCCTAAGTTGGTGAATAGCGTTGATATTTCAGCCAGGATAATGACAGGTGGTGCCGTTAGCCAACAACTAGCCGGCGTGCAAGGTCATTGGAGCGTTCACACTCCTGGGACGCTATTGTTGAAATTCGCCGCCAGTCGTTGGCTAATGGCGCCACCTATCATTATCAAGCTGAAATATCAACGCTATTCATCACCAATTAGCAGTAAATTTCACTCAGATCACTTTTCTAAACACTCGTCAAGGTTAGGATTAGGGTTAAGGCCAGTATTAGGTTTACGGTTAGAATGACGGTTTGGATACGGGTTATAATTAAAGTTAGGGTTAGTGTTAGGGTCAGGATTAAGGCTAAGTTTACGATTAGGGATAGATTTATAACTGATGTGATTTATTTTAGTTTGTTTTACTATCCACAAATTTCTGGTAAGTAGTCGTTGATCCTCTTACTGGAAACCATTGTAATTCAACCGAGGGCTTCGGAGTGGACTGCACATCAGGATAAGAGAGATAAACGATTCACAAAAACAGCTCATCTTCAGTCACTTCGGTGAATACATGTACAGAAACTAGTCTAACTTAGTAACTGAGGCTTCTCATTATGACTGGGACGTATTTTTAAGAAAGATACCCTGTGTCAATGTGTTTTCATGCATTTCCTCATAAATATACGTTATTTCTCATGCCGAAATTTCTCATTTCTATGATTAGTCAGCTCAAGGACACTCGTATGAATCGCATCCCTTGGGACGCCAATGTTGAACTTTGCCAAAAATACAAATGAATACTGCCACTTAATAAATAACCAGGCATAGATGTATTGCTTTTCAACTAATGAGTTAAACGTTTCATGTGATGAAGGTGTTGGTTGCACAGCCTGATTGCCCTCCAGGTACAGATAGATGGAGCAGTTTAGCCGTGGTTCATAACTTGATGCACTCAACTTTCGACTGATGAGTCATAAATACACAAATCACCCCACCCCCATTTATTCATGTACTAGTTGAACGGGAAAAGAAAAGAGGGAAATCACACCATATTTATAGTCGGCTAGGTCAACGGTTAATAAACAGTTCTGGTTGGTTGTTGATAATCAGAAGGGGCAAGAGTAAGAAAAAAAATAGACACCAAAATCGAATGACCTTGAAGCAACCAATCAGATCACTCATCATTTATAACGGATGCTGATCATGAACTCCACTGCAAGTTTCACCCAGATTTGGTTTTTGACTTGTGTGTGTGTGTGTGTGTGTGGAAAATGGGTTGATAGGAGGGTCTAAAACCTGCATATGTGGAGGAATAATGACGCCACAAAAGTATTGCCGGACTATTGACGGTTACGTATTTGGATGCAACCACTGTTACATGAGGAAGGGAAGTCGTACACTACGGTGATTTTTTAGATATTTTCTTCGCCAAATAGAAATTGTCCCTTACTAAAATATTGCGTATATGCCACAACTGGCTACTAAGGCGACCAGTATCTGCTACAGCTGCAGAAACGGAGAATACAAAGATTTCAACAGTGCAGTGGTATCAGTACTGCCATGATATATTGCCTGACAAAAGCTAAATGGGATCACCTCTGTACTTGGAGGAGCTGGTGTCGCGTCGTGCATGTTGACGAGACTGTGTTTATTAAGCGAAAAATGAATCGAGGCAGGAGTGGAGGAAATCATGTGTTTGGGTGCTGGGAGTTTACGACAAAAATCTTCGTAAAGGGTTTGTAGAACGCATCTCGAACTGAAGTGCTGATATGCTATTAGTACCAATTATACAACGACTAGTCCTCCCAGGAACCACTATTCACACAGACAAATAGAGAGGTTATTCTCAATTATCATCACTAGGCTAGGCTATATTCACCACAAAGTCAACCATTCTTCTGAACTGGTGGATGCTGTAACAGGAACACACAAATTCCATTGAAGGATTTTGGGCTCACCTCAAAAAACGTATCAGAATGGTAAACGGTTCCCGAAGTGATATGGTATATAGGCATTTAGATGAGTTTTTGTCTCGACATTGGTTTAATATGTCTATAACCACTCCTATGACAAACTGGGACCAGTTTTTGCAGCATATTGGAGACATTTATTCTGTATCATTCATTTTTATTACACATATATGTTATAAATAAAGTTTTTTCTATTGATTTTATGCCACTTCTTAAATGAAAGAATCTGATTGGTTGTTTCAAGGTTATTTGAATTTGGTATCTATAATTTACTGTTGCCTCTGAAGCTTAAACCTTGAGATTATCACCTAACCGATCACAACCTCAGCTAGATGTAGGCTTGAGAACTAAACGGCTTCTTCTTACTTCTGTAAGCCCAACATTTGAAGTCATTCAAATGTTCTTTTCAATTCTGACTACATCCTATCATTAATCTGAGCCTATATATGATAGAACCAAGCATAAAATATTATATCATCATTTTTTCTCACGAATCGTGTAATTTATCTTGTGATGGAGTTATGCTATGTGAATGTATCACTTCTCACGCATATTGTGATTTAGGGTATGTGAGACCAATTCACCATCGTCTTTTGTCTCACCTTGGTCTTTGTAGGATCACCACCTAATCAGAATAAACATATCCAGACAATAAGAACAGACCATTCCCACAGTTGTGAACCAACTGTATTTTGACAAATTAAATATATAGTTTTGTTTCCTAATTGAACTATAATATAATATCTTACAATCACAGGCCAGCCTTCATCTTTTGTTATTGCGTGGGTCAGTGTGAATCGGAAGGCACAACGAACAAATAGACGTATTAGCATACCAGTGAAGTTGTTCATTACCGTTATAGTAATTAACCGGTGCAGACGTAACAAAGTAGCAACGAACTTCTTCAGTTTAGTTCAGTTATAACAATATACTACTGATAAGTCATGTCAGTAGTACACACCACACTAGAACAAACCATCATACAGTAGATGTGGTTCATCTCACGTAAAATGCGTAAAGGGGGTGGGGGGTTGACTGAAGTTACATTTTCAGATAAAGGATAGTTTATGACGATGATGCTTACAGCTCAGATCACCAAGCTGGTTAGACATGAAGAAATTTTACTAGACAGTACTTTCTCCTTTTTTTACACAAATCTAGATTGAATGATCACAAAAAACGAATCAATACTAGAAGCTGATTGGTTCGGGGATATTTCATATGAAACATTCGATAGTATTTGGTATATGGGGGAAAATGTGAAAACACTGATATGGGAAAGGTTTTTCTTTCGGGCTTGACATGTTGGGTGTGAAAACGAATACTCGCCAACAATGACATTGGCTAGTCATTGAGGAGTCGGGTCCCAGTAGTGGGAATGGTCACAGGCTCGCTCGCCTTGTAACCACAAGGTCGTAGGTTCGAACCCTGTCAGTGAGATAGGTGTACACTGCTGAAGAATCGCAAACTAGATTGACGAAACAGTACTCGAGTGGTGGGGTTTTCCAATAGTTCTCTAACTGATTTCAGGCTAATGATCAAATCCTGTAACCAATTAAACCCTTGTGAATCAACACCTGAAGTTGGAAAAACTATACATGACATCATATTTAGTTGAACCTATTTGACACAGGAGACGAAATGTACGTAAAGCACAAATATGAGGTAGAAAACTATTCACAGAAGCAATTTAAAAAGGCTGTGAAGAGAAAAATCATTGGAATTACTGATACTGTTCGCAGTCCATTGTGTACTCTCTTTCTTCTAACTTAGCTTTCGATAACTTTTCAATGTGAACAGTTCCTCCTCAGTACAATCAATTTTTAATGGAATTTCTTTTGGTTCGATAATGCACTTTCTCATGTTTCTTACACAACAGGGATGATAATAAAATATTTCGAATATAATTATAAAACTCGGGCACTGTAGTAGAGTATAACTTCATTATAGATAAGATTTTATTTTGATAAAGTGTCACACAGTGTAGTGTTATACAGTAATATTAACTGATGGCGTTTCGAGCACAAACTATTGCCGCTCATATCACATCAAGTCACTTAAACAACTTTCTTGCTTCATTTATATACATAAGTGAAATTGATGATTAGACATTTGAATAAAATCAATGTAAGATAAAGTACATTCAGAAATAATATTAGTACTAATGTGACTGTGAAGTCAACTAAATAGGTCGAACTAGTAGATCGAGGTTTTGAGATTATGATAACATTAGAATTTAGCTAAGGTTAAAATGATTGTCCCCATAAAGACAAGTAATTTAGAAAAAAAAATGATTGATGTAAGAACAAAACTTGTGCACTGTGGTAGAGTGTAATTCCATTAGGGGTAAATTTTTGTTTTGATAAAGTCTCACAGTGTTATATACAGTCATGTTTACTGATGACGTTTCGAGCACAATTTATTGCTGCTCATAATCATATCA